CAAGAGTACCCTTTGGCACGTAATCTCTTTTGTGTGGCTCTTTTGTAATCATAAACTACAAAAATATCACTTGCTACTTTTTCAAAAGGAAATTTAACGGTAGTATTTTTCAATTAGGAAACGTGAAAATCGCTTATGTACTTGTTTATTTCGTATACAGTAACTCTCACCATAAAATTTGTCAGAGTTTTGTATAAGCAGAGGGCACAACTAACTAAAATTTGATAAAAGAGAGAAAAGCACAGAATAAAAATCTAATGAGAATTTAGATGAATAATTCAACCATGCTTTTACGAAACTTTTAAAAAAGAATATGATAAAAATATTTCTAAATCTTAGTCATCAGTTTAATTTGACGTCACATTCAGAAACTCAAGTCGCCATTGAATTAAATCTATTCATCTATGTATGGTAGTTATTTTGTTTTATTCAAATATATATGCATCATATGTGGCAATCCTATGGAAAGTAACATATTGCTGCCATTTCAATTAGATTCTCGCTATAAAAGTGGGAACTTGGAACTACCAAAATCCCATTAAACAAAAACGAAATCCATGTAAGTACACCTTTAAAGAGTATATTCTTCAACAGATTTTGCTATTTACTGACTCTATTTCTATGAACAGGATGATTATACAACCCTATTTTTTTCTCGTCGAATTATGAGCCCCAAAAGGGAATTAGTAAAAATTCAATTTATTTAGACATATGCTTGACCAGGCACTAGATAAATTACCCTGGGTACCTGACTAAAGTGAGTCTGACAATGTACATCATGACAATATACTTGATATAAAAAAGAATCGGATGAGTTTATTGAAAAAGGGGTTTATTAGATTAGTGCATGAAGAAAATCAAGTTTGAGAAATTGGCTTTGGATATGAAGTTTATAACCTTAAATACTTTGTGATTGAAAAAGCATTTTTGGATAAAAATATTTCTAATAGATTAATACGACGCATTGCAAGAATGTTAGAAGATTATTTTATCAAAATTTCAAATAGATTTAACAATCATCTATACGTCAAGTGCATTGAATTCAAACAAGACCAGTGCTTTTAAAGGTCTTGTATTACACTTAAGCTTTCAACCTATACAAAAATGGATGGGACAGTATTTCGTGTGTGAGCTTCTGCATAAGCTTAAAACCACTTTGAAAAATTCTAGTAAAGGCGTTTCTCAATGTCAATTGCAATAACCAGTAGGAATAGTTAGGGGAAAATGAATGAGAAAAAGAGAAACACAAAAACCTAGAAAACACAGGAAAGATCAAGAAACAAAAAAGCAGCTTCGACCCTTTTTGTTTCTCTGTAGAGGAGGGAAGCGGACCAAGTTTCTATGTTTAACAAACATTTAGCAGATATATATCTTCAAGCACTGAGACCCCGTTTACACTAGAGTGTTTTATCCGGATAAATTTTCATCCGGATAAAAATTTATGCGGATAGGCTCTCCGTCTACACGAAGTGCGCACATGAAAAAGAGGGTGTTTTGAGAGTACCTAGGACCCAAAACCCGGAAAATAGTTATGAAAAACGGAAAACCCGGACTTGGAAATTGGAAAATCCTGAGACAAATATATATACTTCAACGTGGTTCACCTTTTCCCGTGTTCTGCATTAAAAGACCTTCGTACCCGCAGTTATTACCAGCAAGAATATTTGTCTGCAAGGCACAGGGTAGATCCTTGCCTTTTTTTCTCCAAATGAAGATGTCATGAAAAACAGAATTTTAGAGAAATTTTTCGTAGATTGCGGAGATCTGGCAATTTCTCAACGGAACGAGGGAATTCTACACACTTTCCGGACGCAGATTTTCTCAAAATAATACACGGATTGCAGAAATTTCAAAATGTTTAGCGGAACACTTAACCTGCCACTTTGTCAAATTTGCTCCGAAAATAACCTAATATTTTCCTCCGATAGGGGGGCTAGATGCTTCCGATGGAGGGACTGTAGCGCCCTAGCCCTCCCCTGGCGCCACCACTGTATACATTCTATTGCCCAGTTGCCTCCTATCTGCTATTTTTGACTAGAAAGTACTTATTTCCACATTGTAAGGGCGTGTATGTTGAATAAAAGTTGTTCAGCATGAAACTGTCTGTCAGAATATGTACATATAATGTGGTTTTAGCGACATCAAAATTTGAACCCCTGCTGATCAGTGGGCCATATGGAATTTGCCCAAATAAGGAATTCCCAATGTCCAATGGCTTTTTTCTGGTTATTCCCAGTATCGTATGGAACCTATGTGCCAAGTTACAGCTTTTTATAATTGGTGTCCGGGTAGAATCGTAATTCCACCACACTAAACTGCAACCCCACAAAGTCTCTTCAACCTCTTTCTCGTCGGTGTCGTGTCACCGATCTCATAGATTTTATAACCGACATCGCTCCCAGGAGATATTTTCTCTGGTCCCCTGAGACATGTACGTAACATAGCTTTAGTCTCGGCTTGGCGTTTCTTACTTTTCGCTCGATTTCTACCTCGCGTGTTTCTTATTGTGCTTCTTGTTTTTGTAATCGAATTTCCTTTGAATAATAGTGCCTGGACATAACTGGTTCTCGATCAAGTAATTAATGCTATTTTGCTTACCGCTTTCTGTCTTTCAGTTGCTTTAATTCATAATTTTTTGCTGGTATTTTATTTCTTGGGTCTTGTTGAATCTCAGCCTGCCTTTTTCCTTATGTTGTTCTTATATTTTGGGCAACTGTTACCCTGGTGTTTCTTATCAAGGTTGTCATTCCTCCCTATAAAACGTAAACTTTGGAACGCTCTACCTTCTCCTTGCTTCCCAGCGTGTTTGAACCTGTTTTGAATCAAAACTACAATAAACCAACTTGAATTTACCTCCCTCTCTTCCAAACTTCTCCATCCTTCCCCTTGTTAGGGCGTAGCTATATGACCCCGGACCTTTCCCTGATATTACTTGATATTAAGATGAATTTTCTAATGAGGCAATCTACAATCACCGTAAAAAGTACTTGGAGCACCCAGTTATATGCGTTATGTTTTTACATTTTTCAATTATTTTCTCGAATTTTCCAGCTCCCGCACACCACTTTCCCCCAATACAATATTGAGAATTTAAAAGGTTTTCCTACAAGTCACAGGGAAAAGTACTTCCTAATCCCCAACGTCATTTGTAGTAAACAAACACTGTTCATAAGAGAGAGGGCAACACTGTTCACAAGGGAGGGAGGTGAGGGAGAGGAATGGCTCAATTTGCCCTTGAAAACTGACGTTAGTGTACCAAGACCTTTGGCAGACATTGTAGCTCTGGCAACTACTTAACAATCGTCAGTTGAATTGATTACAAACAGCTAATTAACGATGAAATGAAATTGAATAGTTCTTAAATCAAATCATCCATAGATACAAAGCATAACAATTGAGCAGTTACTAAAAGAGCTTCATAATTATTCACTACCAGACGTATTAGCAAACGGGAAAAAAGGTAACTCTTTTCATTTCTCTTTTCTAATTCTCATTCTTTTTTCCTTTCGTTGTTTGTAGCTATGCGTGTTTCCTTGGTGCCTTATTTCTGATGAAAAATAAATCGACTAATGATTGTTACTGCTTTTTGAGAGGTCATTTCCTTAATCGAAACACATCACCTACATTCACATTTGGTACACAGTGGCGTACCCAATGTTGTAAGATTTGACAGACAACAATTTGCCAAGGCAGACCTCAACAAATTTATATACCCCACAAGCACTCTGCAACTAGAACTCCCCTCTATTCAAAAACGACCTTTTCATTTCTAGCAGATACATGTGAAGATGTTCAGTTTTTAAAGAAGGATCACATTTTGAACACTATTTTTGCAATGCGAGCCTAAATTTTCCGTGAGCGATAACTTCATAACTTCAAGTTATTTTTTGTACAGTAAAATCCCGTTATAACGTACTCGGTTATTACGTACTTTCGGATATAACGTACTGGTGTGCTTGGTCCCGACAAAAGATGTGCTTGGTTTTAGTCAATTTTTACTTACCCTCGTTACAACGTACTTCGGATATAACGTATTTAATACACTGGTCCCTTAAAGTACGTTATAACCGGATTATACTGTATGGCTTTTTTGTAAGAGTGTTGAGTTCAGGATCATTCGATTCTGATCACTTCTTGCTTGGTGCAAATGCTATTGACCCTCGATATTTTGTCTGTATCACAAGCCTCCTCCTTGGAAATGTTCTTTGAAAGTTTGTTTGAGTAGTTGATAGGAAAGAGATTTCACTTACCAATGATGCCCAAAAATCAAACTTTGAACAGTTAGCCGCGACTGCCTCCATTAGCCATTAAGAACAAATCCTTAGTTTTTAAACTTATCTGTTCCAGGTTACCAAACAAAAACCGTTAGCAAATAAGGCAAAAACCTTTGCTCTCCACAGTCCAACTTCAGGTTGCCTTGTAACGTGCGAGGATGAAACTATGCCAAGATAAAATTTATATACCCGAAACCAATACACACTTGCACGCTTGTTGCCTTGGCTGTATTAAAGACACAATGTAATGCATACTCGAGCACTGCTACAATAGACACAAACTTCACAATCGTGCAATCTGAGTCAAAACCAAAGCCCAAGGGGCACGAAAAAGACGTACCCTGTCACATATTAAACGTGATTAAATTTCATTTAATCAAGCTGAACCATTTTCATGTTTGCATACGTTATCTGAAATTGCTTGGCCTACCCATATATAGTTAGGCCTACCACGTTTCTCTTGAATGAGGCGGGCCTCATGTGACTGTTGAAATTCTATTTCCGAATGACTTAGATTTTCAATAACAATTCATTGACCTGTGACTCATGACAATACAATTTCACGTATCTGTCAAGCTTTTTAAACAGATGTTGCCCCCTTCTCAAAGTCAATGTTAACAGAGTGCTCCATCCATACCTACTCTAAATTACTTCACTTTGTTCATGAAGCTCTCCCTCTCTTTGTATCTGCACATAAAGAATGCTGCAAAAACCACAAGTGGAAAATGAAAACACGTTGACCTAATGTTAATTCTGAAAGACCAAAAACAATTCATTTTAAGCAGATAGTAACAAGACAACGAATCACTGTTATAAACGCTTAAATAGAACTACCAGTAGCAAGAAAAACTACCCCGAGGCGTTCAAGGACTCCTTTGGTAAAATGCAGACCTAGTTTCTATCAATTCTTAGCTATCGTACGCCAAGACCTCTCAAAGAAAACAGTCCTGTAATCAGGTTGCCTTTACATGAAGTACTTGCATCTGATCAAAATGGACGAACCTTCAGATTTCAGCAGGCCTAGTAATATATGGTGTAAGTTGTAATCAAAAAAAGTTGCACAGACAGCCTATTATTGCCTTGACTAACACAGAAGCCTTGAACAAACCCTTAAACAAAGTGAACCCTTATACTTAAAAAACTATGAGGAAAATGGTTATCTAAACCCGAAACTGTAAACAAAATAAAACAAACTTCAGGATTATTTACTAACGAAACAACATGACATTACAACGACATTATTTATTCAAAAATATGGCAAAAAAACGTCTTCCAATCCTATAAAAACTGTTCAAAACTTCAAAATATTGTGTTTAAACTTTTATAAATGGCTAATATTTAATACAAATACAACAATATAAGAAAAACGAAAATAATGTCTACAAACAATATGCTGCGATTTGCTACAGTGCAAATTGATCTTCGTCAGTGGTTTTTCATAATTCTACATGATGAAGTTGAATAGCAAGGTTTTTCCTTATCTAATATCTATAAATCGTCGTTTTTCTTATGGCATTTTTGATGCTTTCTTGTCTTTCTTCTCAAATTGCGAGTAAACAGAGTTATCTGGAAGAACAAAAACAATTTTATAGAATAAGCCACAGCCTTAAAGGGTGAAAGCATCTAGATACACATTTAAATGTTATTGTACACAATTAACCCAAAAATGGTCGGAACAAATTACAAATCTGTTTAATAAAAATGCAGTGAAAAATGTTCAACAGATGTTTGTTGTTTCAGATAACAGAGAGAAACAAAACAGGGTTGGCAAGTTTGGTACCGACAATAAAGGAAGCAGCTAGACAGGTTTATGAAATGGCTCCTTAGAAAATGGCAGTGGCTCAGTGACAGGATTTAAACAGATGGTGACGAATACATACATCACAAAAATTCATGTATACACTTACAAAAATACCGACAGCAGAAAAACTTTTGCAGACGAGAGAAAATTGTAGAGTAGAGAAAAAGCAGTAATGAAAAAAAGCAAAGTCCTAACAATAAATTTTAGATTTAAAAAAGGCTTAAAATGAGACCAGAAATAAATAAATGGAATAGAAACATTCAGCAATAAAGCATTTATGGCAATATAGTTCTTGAAATATGGAAGCTTTAAAAGATGTTTTACAATGATTAGGAAAATGCAAAAAGAAGCTTACCGCAATTGACTGCAGTGCAAACCCATTTGCCGCAAGCGCAGACGCTAGGAGAAAAGGTAATTAGTGATTAAAATATGTAGAAAATATATAAAATATGCGAATAAGTGCAATGGTCACATACCAATAAGAAAATTATTCAAATAATTCATATTTTTATTTGGGGGGGGGGGGTATTTATTTCACAACCAAATGTACAAAAAAGACCAATATACTAAGCTGCATTATGCATTCTTTGCATGATATCGGAGGCAAGGGATTTCTGAAATCAGATAGATCTAACGCCTAAATCTGCGAGTGATTCCTATAGTATTTAAGACGCAATTTGCCTCTTTTATAAGATACAAGTTCCTCTTTTCTCTCCTCACGACCCTAGCTTCCAAACGTCCTGTAGCTCAGGGCATGGTAGGAGAAAAATCTTGGAAATGAAAAGTAAAATAATTAACAACTATAAACACAAAAGGGGCTTACCAGTTGTTGCAACCTTGTGGAACTTCATCACCATCCTTGTATTTTCTGTCTCCAAGTGCACAATCTGCAAAAGAACAAGCAATGATTCATTTACACCGTCTTAGTAAACTGAAATCGTTAGGAAAATGCTTAAAATATTTTTAAAATTTTAAATTTTACATAATTACAAGGTATAGTCCGGTACAGCAACACCCATTGTTACACACAATTCATAAAAGTCAGCGAATCAACAAATGTAAGCTACCAGAAAAGGCTAATTCCAGTTGGGATAAGCTTTTTGCTGGCATGAAAAGGGAATCTACTCCAGGTATGCCTTGTCTTTTGGCTCAACTGGTCTAGACAGGCACAACCATTAAAGGCGATCGACCAAGCCAAGAATTGACCAATCAGTGAGTGTGATTCCATTCACACGCTAATTGATTGGCTAATATTAATTGACAGGTGGCTTGGGTCACTTTCACATCTGCCAATTGCCTTTAAGGGCACTATATTCCGATGCATTTCGTTGGCCATTTAAATTTCCAATTGTTTGGACTTCACGATAGACTTATGATTTCGTATCCCATCAGCAACGGGACATAGTTCTCTTCAATAAAGCAGCAACTTGGGGTAAGGTGAAAACCAATAAAATATTGCAAAAGCATACATTCACAAAACAAATCTATTCACCAAATAAAAAAAAAAAATTTTGCAGAGTTGAAAAAGTGTTATATACGTACGTTTTACTGGAAGCTTAAATTCTGAAAAGAAAGAAAGAAGATATCAGCAATGTCAGTAAAAAACAACAGTTATTCAATTAGCTGCATCGTTTTGCTAAAACCTTCACTTTAAAGTTCTTTGAGTAGCTTTTTTTTCACTATAGACACGTTTGAAATTGGTTGCTAGTGTCCTTGATATTCATTTTAGGAAGAAATAGCATTAAACAGTTTATAAATGATACCAACGAAGAAAAAAGGACAACAGGCTACGCTTGAGACGGCTTTTTTTAAACCTGCTTATTTTTCTCGTATAAATTCAAGTTACTTTAAAGTTGGATTGTCACAGGATATTGCACGACACGCAAGCTTGCATAATTGAGGATGTGAAAGTCGTAAATTTAAGTTTCAAAACGAGGCAGTAAATTCAATTGGCGTATCAATCGTTTGTACAACATCTCTTCAAAACAAGGCTGTTAACTATCATTGTACATGATTAGTTAATTTCAAAGCTACTTTCAATCAATAAGAGGCAGTGATGATTTAATTCAAAACACCTGATGTGTTTGTTTTTTATCTAAAAAACTAGGATGTTAAAATAGTTCTAGTTAAGAAATATTCAGTATACTTCAGGAAAGAGATTACAGGACAGACTTGCAATCTAACACTTCATATAAATCAGCCTGTTTTAACGTGGCAGTATCAAATGAAATAATATTATGTAACTTATAAACACAGATATGAATCGTTCTTGTGATAAATAAAATGACTGCTTTATTACATGCCCAAAAGATTGCCAATGTATTGTTAAAGGAAAGTTGAAAACAAGCAAAAGAACAAAGGATGGTTAGAATTATAATTCCTTGGTGTATTCAAGGATGGAGCACACATATTTTAGCATTGTTTCGGAAAATATTTTGCGATTGATACATAAATGGAGCTAAATCCGATTCTATTACTGTTTCTCTTCAATCGAAGTTACGTTTAAACTATTGACATTGTAAATTTAGCGCTTCACTCCATTTAACAAAGGGCGTGTTTTTAAATAATCTAATCAACTAGCCCTGTGAGGTATATTTAGTAATACTTAATTAGTTTGTGATACACACTAAAACTTAATGTTAAATAAATTCTTGCATCAACTATTTTTTACTTATGCGTATAACAATTGACAATAAACACAATATACAAAATAATACCACAAAGAATGCTCTGGAAGTGCATCGCAACCCTGTAACACTTAACTACAAATCTGCCTCAAAATAGAGGCAGAATGATGCAGGCTGAGGATCCAGTTGTTGGGTTCTGCAGCCAGAGCTCTCCGCATCAAATTTTGAACATTTAGCGCAGAATAATAATTAATTAGTAGCCGGGGCGAAATATTAGCCATCACTGATTTGTGTGTTTGTTGTTGTTTATTCTCGTCGGGTTGCGGTGTTCCTTATACACTACTATTTTATCTATTTTTCGCCGCAAGATTTCCTCCGGAGTCCGTCGAGCAGCCTGCTATCGTGGCCTCTCCTTTATTTGCACATAATAATTAATGCTGATGATAACACATAAGCTAGGTTCTTTAATGTTACTTTTATTCTGGGGAAAGGAATTTGGGGCTATTATTGGGACCCAGCTCTACGAAAACCTAATGGATTATTCAGGATTAAAATCGTCATATTTGCTGTTAGCTCTTGATTTATGATTCTTAAGGACGAAAATCATAGGGTCAATGGATACTCAAACAATATTCCGGAATAAAAATCGGAAAAATATTCAAGCTTCAAATAGATAATAATTCCAACCTGTCAAAAATGAATGGAACAAAAATTTCTAATGCAGTGAAAATTGTGTACGGTCGTGGGCTTTCTTGAAAATCATCGTTAAATGTCACTTCTAATAAAAGGAGCTCTTCAAAGTGTGTGACAAATGTCTTTAGTATGAAATAAAAGGCACTATTTCAGTATAACTAACACCAGCAGTGACAAAACCAGGGAAAAGCCTGTAACCTGAGTTCACAAAAAACAAACTTACTTGGGTCAAGGCATTTCATGAACTCGGCGAAGTCAAGCTTGTAGTCAGAGTTGATGTCTGTGATTGCGATGAGTGCATCAGCACAAAGGCCTCTGAGGACAGGGTTGGTGTGCTTGTCTTTTGTCAGAATCTAAAATGACAACAAAGCCAATAACTTCCAATATTATATACCTAGCCTACACAAAAGCAGCACAATTTTTAGTGGAGATGGAAATTCATAGATCACCTAGCAAAAAACGTACAAAATACGATTGGTTACAGGAACTTACTTTCCATCGAATGCAAGCTTGAAGGAAAGTGTTTTGGAGTTTAAATTAGAGGTCATGAGGCTTGAAAGAGTGTATTCATGTCCAAAGCAAGCTAGACTGGTCGATTTGCTAATCAAATTTTGACACCAGATCAGCGATTTCAAATTCATTTCATAAATAGCATATTCTTAAGACGGTGCATAATAGGTCTGGTAGGGTGACAGGATCAGCCATTTTTGATGGGTGGGAAATTGGCTACAGAATTTCTAGGTAACGGGATCAGGATCCGAAAGTATAGCCCTTCGGGATACGGGATATGGCGGAAACATGCGCGGGATTGCGGAATGGCGGCGGGATGGCAAGATGGCGGGATGGCAAGATGGCGGGATAACGAGATGGCAGTAGGAAGATTAAATATTGTAAGCAAATCCTCAGTTCTATAGATACTAAATCTAAGGATCCTTTCTGCTTCTTAATCACGAACCTCACTAACAGACTCGTTTCCTTCCAGCAGTTTGACGAATTCCATTGTATCAAGTTTGGTATCATTATCCTCATCAAGAACTTTGAAGAGATCTTTCAGCATTTGCCTGTATTCCTTTTTTTCTGATTCAACTGCAATGTTAACTTTTTTCATCCAGGTCAGGAGTTTTTCTCTCAGTAAATCACGATCCTTTTCCAGACAGACAACTGTTGGCAGCAATGGAAAAACACGAATTAATAAAATTTCCTTAAAACTTTGAACATACCCAAAAAAATGTTTTTCATAGCTTTCTTACAAAGAAAATCCAAGCAAGTAGATCACAAAAAGCTTTAAATTAAGGTAGAATAAAGCAATTTGCGAAAGACTTGCACAAAGTCAGATGTAAAGTGAATCGAAACATTATTATCGTAACTGTTCTAAATATCTGTTCTCTGTCAACTATCCAAGAAATGGCAAAATGAAATGACTCATTTGTGATTCTTTTTACTACTCCATTCCTACTGTTAGAAAAAAGCATCATCTGCGATGAAAAATGTTTTTTAAACCCTTAATTATACATCAGTTACTAACTTGAACATTTTTTGACAATGTCGATAACGTTTTCCTATTTAATTTTTATTTTGCATTCGAGCGATTTATTCCTTATGAAACCTGTGGGTCACCGAAAAATCCCGCCTGAGGCCTATCATATTTGATGCCTAACTTAGGTATACACATAATAAGAGAAAAATTGGAAATTTAATGACTTTGTGACAGAAAACAAAGAATGGCAACCATAAATGTAAATTGGAAAGCCGTTATTACCAAGACAAACATCTTTTTATTTCAAACTGAGAGTCAGATTTAATTCAAACACAAAAATGGTTTTACCAGATATAATTTTACTAGATATAATCCTTCTGTTAAGTAAGGACATAGAATACAATATCAGAATTTTCTAACCTTACCTCTGCCACTTAATAACGAAAGTACCAGTAACCAACAATCAAAATAAAGTTAGCAGTTTAGGCACTAGATGAGTAAAGAATTTGAACGAAACACGAGGTCATCTGTAAATAAAAACTAAAAAGACTTATCTCCTTCTTTCCTAAAAAATAAGCAAACTAAAAATAGACATGAGATTTATACCTGGTTGGGGTGATTTCCTTTTCTCTTCTTCCATTATCTTCTTTTCAAGCTCGGCCTCTAAATCAATTTGCATAAAACGTAATCAAAGTCGTAGCACCAAATAATGTGGCTTTCCTTTGGCAATTGTATGACACTTTGAGACATATCCCGCGGGGAAAGAGGTGAGGGTATCGAAACCCCACTTTAGACACAAAAATAATGAAATTTGAGTGCTCATTGATCAATTCGAGGAAATTCGAATATCACTGATTACATCGATAAAGAAGGAGAGGTCATATTTATGATGCAGATAATTGAAATTGTTTATGGCAAACATAGAATAATGAAGTGCTAAATATCTGATTTGCTTTACTTAAATGGGCTAAAATACTTCTTTTCCACAAGGGCTGTGGTCTGTAAAGGTTTAAACTTCCATACGAAGTAAAAATTTTATCGAAGCAATGCTTGCTCTAAGGTAGTTATGTTTATTTTATATCATAAACGACGTAGAATACATCTAAAAGGGTGTTGATCAGTTTAAGGGTTGTCGAAACTTAAGGGTGTGGTCAAACTTGATAGGCCCTTTCATCTTCAATATTGTAAAATATCCTTTGCAAAATATTCCACGCAATTACAAATGATCCTTGCGCTTTTTCGATTGAAGAAACTGTTTGCATTTTTGATTGAAGAAACTGTTTATTGCAAGAAATTTGTTCACAGTGGCGTAGCTCGTCCTTCTAAACTAGAGGGGCGGAAGGTCACGAGTAGTAAAAATTACCGACGAAGACATAGATAAAGAGAAATTTAGGTGCTATTTCACCTACCGATAGACGGTTTTACCGACAAACTAGGGAATTTTTGCATCAACTAAAAATTTACCAACAAACTCATGAAGAATTGGGGTCAACCCTTAGCCCGAATATCTGCATTTACACTCGCACCAAATGTAGTCCCTCAAAAAAGAGGATTTGTTCAAAGAAAAAAGCTTTAAAATAGTTTGATAGTATTCATACCCTTTTTGCAAGATCCATCAGCAATTTTTCGCAACACTTTGCCAGCAGAGCAGGCGGTTCGGTGCATCTCGCATTCATTTTCATAAGTAACACCATCACTGGCGCAGATTGGCTTTGGTGGCTCAAAGCATCGTTCTATGCAATCGCAAACTGGCTCCTTTGCTAGTCCCTCGACACATTCGCGTCCAATCCCGCAGAAAACATTAGCACACGAGCCAACTGAAATGATAAATATAATACTTTACTTCAAGGGGAAATCAGCATCAACATGCCAACGTGAAAATTAAGCAATAGTTTAGAAAAGAGGTATCTTATATTCAGGGTGGGAATATACAACATATTGTCCTTTTTCGATCCACAGCTTGATATATATTAGTGTCTGAGGGGAGTCAGACGAAAACGCTTTAAGTATGGTATGGTGTAAAATGTTTGTTTTTTTCAAAGACATTTTCAAATTCTATACCGCCAAAAATTAGCACATTAGCACACGAGCCAACTGAAATGATAAATATAATACTTTATTTCAAGGGGAAATCAGTTTGAGCGTATCAACGGTTTAAATTAAGCAAGGGTTTAGAAAGGGGGTTTCCTATTTTTCCCCTCTTGTTCTTTCTGGCCCTTATTCCGATGTTTTATACTTGAAGGAGTCTCAGACAGTAAAGCTTTCCTATGCTTTTTTTCAAAGCCATTTTCAAATTCTGTACTACCAAAAATTGCTTCAATATAAAATAGAAAAATTGATAATAGAATCTTATCCTATAAGAGAGCAAACTTTGTAGACCTTGTTATTATTCGACCATTTATCTTAGGGAGCTCGCACGGTAATTGGATGGCAATGGCATCATTGGAATGGGATGTGAAAGCAAAATATGAAACAACAATTGCCAACAGACTTTCAAAAAATGACCTAAAGTAGGTGGTTCAAACGTATTTTATTGAGCAGAGTCTTATTCTTTCCTACATGTATAAAACATCAACAAATAGACTACTACTTTCAAGTTCCTAGTGTTGAACGTAACAATATATCATTGCCAAACAACAACCTCGGTCCGATTACACTCAGATAAGCCTCATTCCGGCGAATGCAACGTTGTTCAATTAACGCACCGAAACATTCATAAGCAAAGTACTCACCACCGGGGGTTGACTTTCGCTTTGCTGATGCCTGCAAGAAGGAATGATTCCAATATTAGTGACATCACGCCACCACCTACACCACAATCATCACCTATACATAATGGGCCTTACCTTTGGGTTCACACAGTATCGCGTTTCCACATGAATTAAATTTGACGAAAACCCTTGAAGTATCTAAGAACCGTCGATGGAACAAAGGTTTAAGGATTTCCAGCTTTTCTGAAGCTTTTGGGTAGAGCAACACCGTTTTAAACATAAAGCTAAATGTAACCAAATTCGTTTTCGACTCTATTGTAAAAAATCATTCTAGTTAGCTAGCATTCAACTACATTTTCTTCAAGCTTATTCATTGTCACTGTTATCTATGACTATGACAACAAACCAAAACTCAGATTTTGGGATAGTTGGAGGGTCATGGTAGCCAAACTTCTGATAGAAGATGGTACCTGATGATGATTGTCACTGTTAAGCCTTGTCTCAAACTAAATATTTTCAGTTTTTCACCGTTGCACTGTTAAATATAGATTGACTCATGCAAGGATAAAGCATATCTAAATGCCATAAAACATCGGGGTTAACAAAGGGTTTTGGAGGCCTGGGACAAAACTGAAAGACGAGGCCCAAAGCAAGTGAAGCGAGCAGAAAGGAGACCTTGATGACCTGGGGCAGTTGGCCCCCCTGCCACCCCTTTCGGTTGCCTTGTCAAACATAGATGTACAACAATTAATCAAAGTAAAATCATATTATGTTGCAATATACTTGTCTGGACTCATCTGTTTTTCTCGTCAGGAAATTTTGAGTAAAGCAAGGGGTAGGCATTCAAGCAGGCTAACGAGGGGAGGGAAATGAGATTCATATTCATGGGATAAGATAAACAGCTTCAGTTGCCACATGAAATTCTAGAACCTGGGCCTTCTCAAAGTTATTGGCGTGCCTTGTTCCAATTAACAAGATAATCTACTCTGCTTGCTATTCCTGGTTTTCGATAACAGGTTTAATGTGAACACATGGTCAGTGCATCACGAATGACGATGCATCACGAATTTTATATTTGCCTCACGACTCAGAGATACCTCTCTGCTAGGGCCTTTAGTTTCAAATGTTTGGTCACATAGAACGAAGGAATCTCCATACATGAAGAAGGAGAACAGTTAATTTCCTCCTTAAAATCATAACAAAAGTCAATAAAAGCATTTCTAAAATTTGGCAAAAATCTTTAAATTGACCTATGACCAACGAATCTAAGTCCTTTTTCAACGAACTGAACCAAAATTTTCCAAATTTAAAACAAAACGTTTGCCAAACGCTTTAACCAGGGAAAAAAGAGAAGAAAGGAAAAGAAAAGCTACAAATCTGAATTTCACATCTAGATTTGGAAGCAAACACCATTTGTGACTGCTGGAAACGCATTTATTGTGTGTTGATACAAGCGGGAATAAAATTGTCCGCGGTTTCTCGAAAAAGTAATTTAAATTCTTGAATAGAAAGGCAGCAGGATAGCCGATTAAAATAGACATATTTCCTGGGCATTTCTGAAGCTCAATGGAACGATGTCAAGCCTCAAACATCCTGCCTAATCCCCCGTGGTTTACGGACTGATTAAAATCCACCTCAGTTCAAAAACCGACATTACTTAGCAACCTCGTTTGCGCGCCTTCTTCGAATGAGGCCAGGAAAGAAAGAATGAAAATACTGGTAAAAGAAAAGCTACAGGCAGCCCAAAGAAATTGATCAGTTCATTTTCTTCTCTTGAAACGACGAATATGAAGAGTCTTCATTGAAGACGACCCGGGAAGCGCGTGGTGAGACACCGAGGGACCAAAATAGCAATGTCGAAATGGTTTCAAAATGTCACAAACTATACAAATAAGCATCTAAAACTGATTTTTTGCAAATTAACTGAAACAAGCTAACACCTAAAAGGAGATTCTTGGCTATATGCTATTAACAGCATAGGCAATATTTGAGCTAGCCTTTTGCCACTGGCCACAGTTACGCGACCACTTTCAATGCCGGAATAATTATTAGGATGAAAAATCAGATCAATAGAATGAAACCTTTTATCATCTGTCTCTTTGTATAGTAAAACACACAGAAAATTTCCTCCTCTCACTAAACAAACCACCTTTCTAATCACCACATTATTCACAGTGCTGATAAAAACAACCAACATGGTTGATGCGTGTAGCAGGATCAAACCATACAAGATTGGCCTAGTGTCAACCGCACTCTTATTCCTTTTTATCTGCTTAATTGAAATCATATTGATCAATCAAGCAAGTAACGCGAATAAGGCCTAAGTTAAACGTTGCTCTTTTCATGCGCCGAACTGAATACAATTCGATGCGACTGTAGCGCAATTGTGGAGCGACACGAAGTTAAGTTAAAACATGTCGTACCTTGGTAATTGTCAATTCAAAAGTCATTCCTGCTCATGCCTGCCCCGTTTAAGCTAAAATAAATTACTATTACCTTATAGTAATTTATGCATTGAGTTTGGTGCATCAAAAGGGCAATGTTAAATTTGAGGCCGTTCCTGGGCCGCATAATGCGACAGGGTCAGTCGCTCCAACTATGTACTTTCTGCTGCACTCAATCAAATCAGTCGAATTCAATCAAGTTAAACATCGCTCTGCCCATGCCCCTAATTTAAGTAATGGGCTCGGCGCATGAGAAGTTCGACGTTTAACCTAGGCCTAAAATGACTTGGAGCTAGCGCCCATCAATGTGGCATCATCGATGCCTAATGATTTTTTACGATGACAATTTAAGCCTGCTTGCAATGCCACTAATGCGAATGTATTCCCGAGGAGGTTTCAACTTTTCGATAATATGTGCTCCTTTGGTGAACTCTTTAAACCCACATGTTCCACAACAACTCGATAGGAACTTAGAAACAACCTCATCAAAAGATCAAATCATTACCCCATAAATCTCAAACTCTCAAAATGCTGCTGAGAAAAAATTGGATTTCCCCGTATAAATGACAAGGAGGAAGTTGAAAAACGAATATAATTGGTCAACTCTGCAATAGCAAGCGTATTTAGCTAAATCGTTTTTCAGGTTAAGAACTATAGTTGTCAATTTTTATTTCTTTTTGGAGGCTGCCCAATTATGTGAACGTTTAGGGGGCAACAACGTCGTAGGTGTTTTCAATAACATTTTGCAATTGTCACAAATAACTTGGCATCTTAAAATAGGCCTGGTAACTAATCGCAAATATACGTCAGCACTGATTCGTGATTATAAACGCGTTTCTAAATAAGATGGGTCGGATAATTATCAACTGTTTCATGGCTAAGGCAACCGCATTCTTTGCTATGGACCTTGTTTGGAATGTGAGGACAAACCGCTCCGTCCATTATATTTGCGGTAATTTTAACAAACTTTGGATATAGACTTGAATTACTTGGCATCTTTAAATAAGAGAAAAACATTACAAAACAATGAAGAGAATGTTGTTTGGTACTAGAAAAGTTTGTAATGATACGGCTGGACAGCAATCACAGTCTTTAAGTGAAATATTTCTTTGCTGAGCTACATTCATTTTTTTATAAGAAACTGGCTATAAGAAACGAGTACTCGACAGTCAGAAAAATTTAAAAAAGAACTTCAGTACTCGAAGCAAAAGAATTAAGAAACTATTAAATCGTGATAAAACTGAGAACAACGGAATTTTGTAAAATCCAAGAACATGATTGCCCTGTTGGCCTAGAAATTAAGACACAAGGGATAAAAATATACCTCCCACGTCTAAATACAGCGTCAGAACGGAAGCAAATCTCTTGACGTGATAGAAAAGGTCAGGAGCATTTCATAATATCATTCATGACACCATAATTAAGAAACTCTTAAGAAACAGTGAGTATTGAAATTTCCAGAACATTAAGAAACTGGAGTACCCAACATCGACCTTGTTTCTTATATAAAATAAGTGTAAATTAAAAATCTGTTTCATCGTCTTAACTCCCAACACATTGACTAGATCAGGATAGCGTCAATGAAAGTAATGGATGAGGCTTATCTTGATAGTTTGGCCTAAAAAGAGAAGCGCTTGGTAACCAGGGTCTAAAAAGGTCTTGACGCTAAAGGTGTTAAGTTAAAGGGTCTTGATAGGGTGGGTGCTAGATAAGGCTTTTGCATCAGACTTTGCTGTTAGACTCATTCTTCATGCGTAAATACCGTTTTATGCCATTACCTGCTGCCAAGAAAATTCAGGCAACATCTTGTTGTAGAGACAACGGGTTTGACTGTATTTCAAAACCACTTAGAGTGCTTAGGTAACTGGCTGCATCAGGGGTTAGGCTGTAGAAAGCTTTACGGCAATATTTTTCAGTGTCCACATAAATGTAAAACTGAGATGGAATGTAGATGGAATGCAAGAAACTTTATTAGTGGTTAGAAATAATCGATAGAATCCTTGATATATAAAAGAATAAAGGAATATATGGATTAAGGAGTCATTTACCGTATCAATTAATGTATTACAAGATGAATGAAGGAATTTGTGGATGGGAAAGACAATTGATTGGTTCATGAATGGATGTACAATCTTACTGTATTCGCTGAAAAGACAAACCAGCGAATGTCTGGTAATGTGCAAGACAACACCCCTGGTTTTAAAGTAAAAATCATGCGTAATAATGATTAAGTTCCATGCGCATGCTCCTTGACTCCAAGACGGAGGGTCGCCTCACCCATTATAAGACTTTCTCTGAATGAATGAATAATTTGCTGAATGAAAAGACACACTTCATTCATTAGACAGTTGGCAAACCTATGAGACAGACAGAATAGCATGCATGAATTCAAATACAGTCAATTTTCGCTATTACTGTTAAAGGTGTTTTGCAACACCAAGTCGAAAATAACGTAACATCTCAATGAAGTTTGTAAAATCCATTGTCGTTCTTTTCAACAGTTGATTAACTCTGCCAAACCACAATAGTTTCGGTGTTCTGTCTTTACACAAGGAAATCCAACAACTAACGTCTTAGTGGATTTGAAGAATGTTTGGTGGACAGATGTAAATTGTTATGTTTACAAGCCAACATAAAGAATGCGATAGAATTAACAGTTAATGCGACGATGATAAAGAAGCTTTTGCTCAACTGTTGGGTGAGGCTGAAATGGAGATTGCCGACGACTTCACCTTCAGGCCACTTTTGCTGCATGGAAGGGTGCTTACACTAAAGGGCCTCGTCCAGCATCAAGAGCTATGATTTATACGCGAAAACCCCGTAATTGTGAAGTATACCTGTCCGTATCAAAAAATGTTATGATGGACACCTTTTTGCCTAAATATTGTAGGCTCACTCTGGTTCTATAGCCTTTGAGAGTCACAGTTCCTCACAATTCGTCTTTCAATAGTCCCAGGATTCCGCATAACTTAATGTATTTAAAAAAAGGTAAATTCAAAACAAAAGCAGCCTATAAACGTTCCATGAAATAAAATAAAAGTTGTACTTTACTGCATACATAGAATGTTTTTGGTGACAATTGTTCTCCCCAGTAGCGGACACTTGGGGGGTGACCGCCCCCCCCCAATACTTTAGAGGACAATGTTCTTTTGTTCTAAAACGATGGGAATGCGACGTCATCTCGTCGTCCGCTCCTGGTTCTACCATTTGTAATGTGAATTGGCTCGAATAGATTTTGACAAAGAGATGTACCCTGATTATCCTTTTCATAATGAATATTGCAATATTCACAGATTTAATATTGCAATAGAAATCCAGCTAAACGTTCAACGAATTCAGTCAGACTTTCGTTGCCTGGTGGCTTTAACTGGCAACTATCGAAGTATCAAATGACAGGGTCTGGACAAAAAGGAGGTGCCAAGCGATGTAAATTTAGCTGATGGTTATCCAAAACTCCGAAAATAGCCAAATTTAATTCTAGCCCATTGAAGCAAAAACCACAAAATCTGTGTGGAATATTAATAATCCTAACAATGAATTGACTTCCAAGATACTAGAGATCCATTTTTAGGTGTTTGCGTTTAACTGCTCACAAAGTAGTGGTAAATCCTTTGCTTGATTTTACTTTGTTAGCGAACGCGACAGCAAAGAAATTATTTCTAAAGTCTGAAGAAATATCCACATTGTGACAGGGTGCCTACTTAATTCCCAACTTTTCTTTTTCTTCACCAGTGGGACACCACAATGAGTGTATAAGTAGGGGGTGCAGGGGTAGAGTGGGGCAAACCCCAATTTGCTCATGCTCAAATGCATTCCTTACTTCTAGCTGATGGTCTTGAAAAATATTTTACAAGGAACTCTTGGTTGTCCATTATTATTATAACCCTGGTGACACTGTCTCTTAAATCTTACTTTCATAGTAATGATAGTAAAAAATTTAAAGATTCTGTTGTTGTTGAGCCTGAACGTTGTCATTATTAAGATACGGAGTGTCATTAAGTAACATGGCTTGTTGGCGATTAGCTGTTTGATTTTTTCAAGCAAGATTGCACCATGGCTCAAAGAAAATGAAAATTCGCCTAGACGGTAATACCGCGTATCAGAAAGGAAACATGCCGCAGGCAGAAAAACTAAATAAAGAAAAGAGAAAATTGTGATCAATTATCAAAGATTATGGGAGGGCAAAAGCTCTTTATCCATTCACATCAGAAATTTCCAGGAAAACCCAATCTTCAAATCCAGCAGGAGCCTTTATTTTCACCCAGTGCTGTCAGATCATAATGCAGAATTTCTCTGTAATTAACTCTTTTACAAGAAGATTTACATATCATGGCTGCAAGCAGTCGGGGACGTGCCAATGTGCAAGCAGAGCAGCAAGGTCATTTTGAACTTCGTTGTCCGAGTGTCGGTCAAAATCTCGTCTTACAAATTCATTCAGACCGTAAAGGAATTCGAGCTTCGTTGCCAAAAAATGTAGGACAAATATTTAGACACGTCTGTTTTGGTTTAGTGGACATGAAAACAAAAAGTTATAGTCACTCAACCTTCACTAAAAAGTCGTCGAGGTCGGAACTTTGGTTTCATTCTTGTCCCAGTCAATCGGATATATTAGCGAAAAAGACAATGGAACTTTATCCTTTCAACAGTGTGCGCCTTTCGTTAAAAATGCAGAAGTAAAAGAAACATCCCAAGAATAACTAACAAATAAGTGAACGACTTCCTGTCTCCGAATCATTTCTTGTATGGAGGTTGTCAGATTGAGCTGGTTAAAATTGTGGCTAGCTGCATCACAAAAGATTTTTACTCAAGTTTTATGACAATACCTTCTTGTTTGTTCCTTGAGTGTTTTCCTGCTGTTTTAGTGAGAAAATTGAACGCTTTTCAGTTCTAAAGCGATGTTTATAATCAATACTTTCAAATTCTAAACGATATTCCGCGACAACTCATAAACAATGTGAACTGATAACCAAACCCGACAAGAAATGTTACACTTTTTATGAAGTTATGATGTGCAGCTCTAGCTGATAGAATCAGTTTAGCGATAGCCAATCTTGAATCTTTAATAATGATTGTCTTTGCTTGAAATATAAATAAATGATGGCCTTATTTTGACGAATGAGGGGAATTCGAATGTAAAGGAATTTTCTATCGAATATCAAATATCAATGGGCGATGGAATTTTGGATTGTACTTACTAGAGCGAAGAAGCACAGTAGAACTACACACGTTGATTTCCACATCTACGAAAGGAACAAAGCTTGTTAACACTAACAAGAATTTAATTTTACTAAGGAGAATGGTCGCAGTTCTACTGATATCCTTGCAACCATGGATCCGAGTGTTAACAGAGTTAGAAATGCGAAACCGGTTGAAATTCAGTAAATAAAAAGAGATAGTTTAGCAAGTGAGCAAAATGTAAACAAACTTTAAATTGTTCATGTAATTCATACCTTCGTATTTCGAGCTTAATGGTAGTGATAAAACAGCAAACGAACGCGAGAATCGTTGTGTGTATTGAATGAAGCTGCCAAGAAATGTGAGGCCCAGAGGCGAAGTTGAAGGCAGAATGATCACACACGGCGGGAGATGTTGACACAAAGTGCTCGACAATGAGAAGTTAGTCTGTTCTTTTGTGTCCTATTGTTATGGGAAGGCTTTGGATTACAGCTAGCCAATAGAGCTTTCAGACAGAGAAAATGCGGTTCAATGAAACAATTTGGTCTGTAACTTGTGATGAAAGCTATAAAGAAACCACTTCTACACAAGGCCACCATTATGTATTCAAAGACTGATAAGAAACAAGGAGACAATTGTTTAAAATTAAATGGTAATCACGTAGTTTGAATTTCAATCCTAATAGATAAAGGGAAGGCATATGATAGTTTAAAAAGGGAAAAAAGATAACTCTAGATTGTTTTGTGCAAGAATCACTCAAAGACTTTCTTTTAAGTATGTTTCAATGTTTACCATTCATTTTTTCAAAAGTGATGTAGTTGTTAATTGGGAGACCATTCCTTGTTCAAAGTACAAATCACAGTCCCTTTCTGCATTCTTTTAAAAATGGTTGTGAGTTACAGACGCTGATCTCAAAGAAGTCTTTTTAAGTGGTCATAACAGGGGCGTGGTGGCCCACCGGGACCCGGTAGGCCCCTTAAGATTTTTCATGTGACCCCTTGGACTTTTTTCTTTTAAAGCTTTTATCATTTGTAAAATCAGATTTGCGAGAAAAAAAACAAATGAAGTAAGGCCCCCCTCTGCCACCGCGACACTCATTTCCAACACAGCGTAAGTGATAACAACAATAAACATAAAAATGGTGGGCCCCTGAAAACTTGGTTTTCCCGGCCCATAAAAATGCCAAATAGTATGTAATAAATTTTCTGCAAAAAATGCCAAATATTATGTAATAAACTGCCAGTAAAGCCTCTTTTCATACGGTTTTAGCCCCCTCTATTTTTTTAGAACCCCCACTTTTCTCAAAGCTCCGCGGTGCCTGTATTGGCAAGACACGAAAGTAGCTTGACAGGTATGTGAAAAATAATGAGAGGCCTGCAGAAGAGATTGAAAGCAAAAGCTGGCAAGTGACAGAATAAACGATGAAAAATTGACGAACCAAATTCTTGACTTCACATGTAAGAATGCAAGTTGTTTTGCCTGCGTCTTTGCAATTTACTTTTTGTTTGATGTAAATGGATTCTGATGATAAAATATCATGCTGGTTGCTTTTGCGACTTGTCCCGTCATTGATGATGATGATGATGATGATGATGATGATGATGTTGTCATGCACAAAATTTTCGGCAATTTTTTTGTAGCATGTAGCAGCAAGCCAGCTGGGGTCTCAGGATGAATCCCGGCCCTCCCCCCTCGCTTGAAACCCACAGCCTCGTACTGACGGCGATTGTGGCCTAAAAATTGTTGCTAACACTTTCAACGCGGGAACTCACGGAAAAAAAAGTATTTTCATGACAAGAAATTTTGAAGTAAGTTGGAAAATATCGATTAACTTCATCACTGTGCCACTTTGATTGGAGTGGGATTACTCTGAAAATGATTAGAAGACTAAAGCCAACAAGAATTGAACTGAAAAAGGTAGATCTTGAAGAATTTGAACAAAGGGTACGAGATAATTCAGTGAACGGAAACAGTTCAGATGCAAAAGATCCTCTGCCAACAGATGAGGCAGACAGGCAGACAGAAGTACATAAAAGGATTGGTTTTCAACCGCAACCAGTTCAAAGTGATGGGGGTCCTAGCATAAATTTATGATCATGATCATAAACTTAAAGTTGAATTATTTTTCCTTCATTAGACCAGAGTTGTGTTGGAGCACCGGCCTCCATTTTGAACTGATATGAACAAAAACTCTTTAAACTGGTGGTAGGCTTTCCATGATATAAGCAAGGGTCGGCGGATGATGTCAACTGTGGTGTTGTGCAACTGTGATGGCATTGTTTTCAAGGTACTTGAGCTGTGCTTTGCAACTTGAACTTTGCTAAGAAGGCATTGGAAATAAACTGTCTCAAAATACTGTCACGCAGTATACATACTACAGATTTCTATTTCCATTATTCATATTTCTAACAAAGTAACATTTTAGTTGGGTACAGCAAGAATATTTCCATGTTGTTTTTTACTTGGTACATAAAGATTAATTTGAATACTTTTCTTTCTTGTGAATTTTTTGAGACCAATTCCATCTCTAATAAGGGTTGTTGGATTTTCTCACTATGTTAAAACAAAATTGTAATGTTGCATTCATATAAAGTAACAAAAACGGTCCATTTTAGATTTTTCAGAAGTTTTTCATAAGTCACAGTTTGAAAAGAATTTTAGATGCTTTCTTGTTTCAACCAGAAAGCAATCTGGACTGATTGTATAGTCAGTCCATAATTTGCTCCAGTTTAGTTATGAAAAAATGACTGCAGATGTAAAAAAGTTTGTTGTTTACTATTTTAAAAAATATTTTCACAGCCAATTTTAGAGCCAATATCATATTAAAATTCAATTACACATTTGAATTTGTCAACATGAGCTAAATCCTTTATAATCTGAACATGAAATTTCTTTGAAAGTGAGAGCAGCCTTGTTCAAGAAAACACTGTTAAAAACCCTTGATTAAACTTAGTTGAGTGTAACATTTATCAATAAATATTCCTTTCAAAGATTAACTGTTATTTCAATGCATGTTTTTAGAATAAAATTCCAAATACTATTGAATTTATACTGCATTTTGCAGGCCTTTTTGTTTGATGCAAGCGTTTGCAGGCCTTCATTTGATATTACCTTAAACAAAGGTACCTTATAAAAGGAACAATTGTTTCACCATCAGAGCGATCGTTCACGCAAGAGAAATCATGGGAGCAATGGGCCACTCACATGGGTTATCTCTTACGAAAAGGCCTGTATTTTGAGTAGTTGTTAAAAGCAAGGGTTCAAGGAAGCCCCATATATGATACTCACAAAGGAAGTTCCTGTTGATTTCTGCGCCTACAGTATTCACAATGTTGACCTTTTTCTTCTTATAAGGTTGAACTTAGGTTTCAACCTACCACTTTCAGCATGTCATGTGCTATAGCAACAGAGCCAAAGTATAATCCTTAGAATACTTCTCATTTATAAGAAAGGCGTTCTTATTCTGAATTTTTAAGATGAAGTATGTGAAAAAGGCACATTGGATGAACATTTATTCATTGCAATTTAAGATTAATCAACATTTTGCTATCAATTCTATTGAAACACTAGATGCTTGCCTCAAATTTATCTTCTTCAGATAGTTTAATTGTTTAACAGTTGGCTGGGTGACAACATAATGTAAATGAAAGGTTTTAAGGCCTCTATTGCCTGCGTAGTTTGGTCTGCTCAATTAGCTTTCAGATACAATTATGACAATAAAACTATATTGCAGTTATATTACGGTTTGTAATTTTCTTTTCTATCCAGAAAATGATGAAAAAATAAAACCATCTTTGGGTCTAGAAGATCTAAAACCTTTGCTGTGTCCCACAAACAACTAGAATTCAGGTGCTGTCCAAAATGCTGTGCTAGATCGCAGCTCCTTGCATGAAGGTTTGTACCAAAACCATTACTGGCACCACATAAAGGAGAACTGACACGCAAAAATAACTTTGGCTCATTTGATACAGAATGTGCCGCTGACTTCAAATCTACTAAAATTTTTCTTCTTAGATTCACCATTTTTCTGATATTTGCACTTTTATCCGTCAATTACCTCACAGCCTGGATTGGAAGTCTGTGGCAGATGCTAGGAATTCATCCTGAGCTACCAGAAATCAGGACTTTATTATGATGTAGAAGAGATGGATGAGGGGGCCAGTATTCTCGGAAAATGAATGATTATTTGATTTTTTTCCAATTCTGTTCATCTCACCTTTTCTCTGTCCATCAACTTCTTTCTCAATTTCCATCTTGATCCCTGAGTCACTCAAGCAGATGCACTTTGACTGAACTAATGTGATATTCTTCATTCACTGAAACCTCTTTCGCACAGGAACTGAATCAGTTACTTTCGGATCCAATCCTTTATACATGATCTGATCCCAATCCTATTGCATTTACCTAGAATTGGTAGCAGGTATGACCCATAAGCTAGATGCATGTGTATTTTAAAAAATGGCAGCCAACAGACCATCAACAATGTTAACAGATCCAATTTGAATGGGACCATTTACACTCAGAAGACAATCTCAAAAATTTTGGTATAGCCATAGGGAAAACTATATGGATCCACCAGTTCCGATGTAAATGCAAGGCCAATTGATACCTTTTTTGATCAAATTAGGGTTGCATTTGTTCTTGTGTGAACTGGGTATGAAAGACTAGCAGCTCCTTTTTCTGGAGCAAGAATTCCTACATTTAGTTGAAACCTGCAACTCAGTTATGAAGAATACTAAAAACTATAAAACACTCAATTTTTTCGGATTTCTCATGTAGTTGAAAAACCGTTTCTGGTATATATTTTATGACTCTAGTAATTCAAATTAATAGTGTACTTTATCACGAATTCTATATTTTACAAAAAACATGGAGCTTTAGCACTCTTTGACACAACGAGTAACTTGACAGTATGAACAAGATTACAGTAAAATACATTTGACTATAAACATACAACTATGAGAACAAATAAAAATACAACTACATAAATGCAAACCCGAATACATTAAAACCCAAACATACAATATTGTAGCTTGAAATATTGTTAAAACACTGCGCACCTAAGATATGTAAATAAAAAGCCCAACACATGATGTCAAAAGATACTGAACAAGGTTCCACATGCTTGATAAATACCTTTGGACCTCATATAATTTGAATTTAATTTAAAAGAAGACTAAGTATTATAAACCAATCCATCTGAATGTATTTCAGGGAAAACCAGAAAAGAAGGTGCTAACACCAAACAATTACCCATTATTTCATGGGCATAAAAGTGTTCCTTGGTTGTGAAACTCAAGTGGCAGTAAGAACACCAGATTTCTTTCGAGGTCGCAAAGCTTCATTTGTGTATTTTTTTAAGTTTGGCCATGCAACACTTAACTGTAATCTACACGTTCGTTTCATTTCTTGGTGCTGATTTGCACATGCAAGGTTGCAACATCAACAAAGTCAAAGGAATAACCAACCCCATTGAAACAATTGCCTACTCTTCACTTTGCTTTCCTTGACCATTTCGAAGACTTGCTTGATTTCATTGACTTTTCTAGCTGCTTTATTTTCTCCAGGATTCGCTTCACGTGCCCAATCTTAGTTATCCCAAGCTCCTAGGGTGAAAAGACAAGGCGTTGTTGGGATGGATAGACTAGCAATAAAGAAGGGACTCATGAAGACTAGCAACAATGAAGGGACAGCTTTGGGCTCAATTCGATATATGGAGGCCAAGCTATGGAATGGGTTACCACTGGAAATAGGCACCTTTACACCATAATGTGAACTTTAGCATTTTTATTGCGTTTTTGATCTCAGACATGATACCAACAATTATAAAAGGGGTTGCTCTCTCCTGATCTGCAATGTGCATATTCAAAGTGGTACCGTTGGGCAGACTAATTTTTACGAAAAAGGTACCATTGGCTTTCAAAGGCTTTGTTAAGATTCAAATATTGTCAAATGTGATACTCTTGGCTAGGCCTTGGCTGGACCAAATTGCAAAAAATACTCTGGGTTAAACTAGAGGTTTGATAAAAGTATACCCATGCTCGCGGCAAATCCCCAGGTACCTTTATTTGGAAGACCCCCCCTTTCTTGGTTAATCTATTGATTCATCTTATGTTATTTTTTCACGTTGCAGGTAGTATTTGAATTCTCTTAATGCAGCTTCTTTTATTATATGAATTTTATGTGTTTGTATCTTGGCGGTGCGTTTTTGTGTTATTGGCGGCAATCTGTTGTCTTTATGCTTTTCTTTGATACCTCATGTGCTTTCAGTTCATTGTAATTTAGCACTTAACGAACTAGATCGTTCTTGAGCTTGAGAAAGTGTTCTCTTTCCTAGGTTAGGCCTAATCACGTGTCCATCGACGCTATCAGAAGAGCCCGCAAATGCTACAGGAGGAATCATTGAAAATTTCACGGAAATATAAGGAGAAACATGAAAAGGTTTACATGTCTAGCGTGTCCTTCTACAATTTTGTAGATTAATTGATCTTAGTAATAATACTCTCTTAGATCCTAGGAGCGTCTAAAAGCGGGAGATGCACAAGAAATGTTGCAGCCTTTCGAAAATAAGAAAATTTCGCGAGCAATCCAGAAAAACCATACAGTCAAACATCCACAGAACAGACACCTCTGAGGCCAGAAAGGGCGAGGTGTCCGCAGAGCCAAGTGTCCGAGGAGGTGTCTCGAGTTTTTTTTACTTCGTACAAACTTTTCTTACAATAGACCCTGTGGGGTAAGGGTGGTGATCGAGGAATGGGGTGTCCGAGGAGTGGGGTGTCCGAGGAGGTGTCCGTTGCCTTAAGAAGGCTTCTCCACGAACTTGATCACGGAAAAGAAACCTCGGAACAAAATGAATTACCCGTTGTTTTGAGGTGTCCGTGTCTGTTAATAGAAGTTGTGCTATATTCCTAAAGATTATCTCAATCTAAAAGCAAATTGAAACAATATAGGAAGGTTGCCTCCCCTTGTCATTTTCATAGAATCATAGCTTCCTTCACAGTGCTGAAGCAATCGCTGTAAAAAGAAGGAAGAGATTGAAATACCTACATGCAGATCTACTTTTTCCAGCGCAATCAGTTCTGGTCCCCGTATGTCGTGTTGATTAAATATTTCTCTGTATTCACCACAACCAACCGAATCAAGCCATATACCTACCTCTGATATGCCCCATTCTGTTACTCTTTTCTGGTTCAATATATCTACAAAAATAACATCAACAACAATAATATATCTTAGCGGTTGCCTTTTTTTCATAATATATATTGAATTATCGATTATCATTTGTATCATTTTGACTATTGTCACTAAAAAAAATTTGGAAAATCGTGTATTACGAGTTTATCGAAGCAACTTGATATAAAAAGAACAAAGTTTTTACGTCTTGAATAAAATACTTTTGGCATAAGATCACCGAATGAAAAGATTTGAGATAAGAGAAAAATTTCAAGAAATGTTTCAAAGCTTACATTTTAAAGAAAAACATCCCTAACCTGATCTATCCTTGGTTTGCTTCGAAAATAAGTTGAATTTCTCTTTCATAGTTGATTGTGTGGCTCTTTGCATCTTTTGCTGTTGAAATAACACTTTAGATTAAAGTAGATCATAAATACATTAAACAGTATATAAGGAATCTTGACATAGTACTGCTGCCAAAAGTGAGGTAACCCCCCATACGGCATGCGTAATGATGATCATGTTCCAAGCATACGCTCTCTGACTCCAAGACTCCAAGACGGAGGTTGTAACTCTCATGTTCTTCTCCCCAATAAAAAAACCAGTGCTCCTGCAGAAATGGCAGTGCTTCCACCCTAACTTCAATTACAGATTACCAATAACCGGGAAAACGACCGCTTTGTTCTGGAGTGTCTGAAAATTATGGAGAATGATTCCTGCTATGCGTGAAAATTTTGAGCACGTTTCTGGAAATCTTGGGAGAATATGAGCTGCTGTTATGACATAACACTTTGAGATGATACGAATCTCTTGCAAACTGCAAACTCAGACAGACGAAAGTAACTTTTAAAGACTGGAACTGTTCAAACCTTGGTTACGAATAAAACTAAAAGAGGAAAGTAGCAACAGAGTTTATAAAAGTACCTCTTCTTCTACTCGAACAGACAGTAAGGATTGTTGGTCAACAAATTTTGACAGCTCTGTGTCTGCATGAGATAATGCAGAGACAATTTTTCCTTCCATCTCGCTTGAGAGTTCCTGAAAAATCATAGCGATTAGAATCGTTGGTTGGGGTTGACAAAATGATTTTCATAGCTGAAAATCAGTGATAGGTGGTTGTTTACGTTGATTCATTTTGATTGACTCTTAATTTCTTAGAAGCTACATAATTCGTATCAAACGGAAATGAAATCATAATGGCGCTGTCGTATAAAATCTTGCATAGATTAAATTTTACAAAAATGGAACACAAAAGACAATAAAATCTAGTACTAAATTTTTTTTATAGTTAAAATTGATGAATACTATATTTTCCACAGCAGTATCTATATTCCCATTAAAGTTTTGTTTAAATGCTTCTACCTCCAAGATAAAACTGATTATGCATGACTTATCATGAAAATTGATTTCCTTCAAAACGAACAGACATTTTTATAAATGTCAACGCGTATCTATATATTTCCTTATGGTATCTAGTGTCTGGATTCTAATTTCAGACTTTCAGACAGGGCTTGTGGGTAGGGCTTGTGGGCAGGGCTTGTGAGCAGGGCTTGTGGGTAGGGCCTATGGGCAAGGCTTATGGGAAGATATCACCAGTTCATCCTGCCAACAGAAAACCAAAATATTTCATTCATGATAGCATAACAGAGACTTTGCCATTTAGATTAATCTGAGGTTACTATTAAACCAAGTTTGTAATTAGCTTTAACCGAAAACCTATTAACAGAATATATTGGTTTCCATTTTGGGGAATTTTTTCTTTATGGGTCTAAGCAATGTGATGTACCTGGGAAAAGTGAGACAGCTTTGTTTGATGGTCTTTGTTGTAATACTAATTAATGAAAAATATGGCTGGAAACCATGATATAGAGTCAATAGTCTACCACCAGGGCCGCAAGATATTCATTCAAATCATAAAGCAAAATTACAATAATTATTCACAAAAAAAAATAAAACTAAAGTAGAGAGTATAGACATATTTGGAAATGCTAATTGAAAAAATTTGCCATATATTGAAAAGATCTTTTTAAAGACAATAAGTTACAAACTGTTGTAATTTTGCAAGATTATTTAAATCATCGCTTCAACTGGTTTCAAATTAATCCTCATCATCATGATTTCTCTACCTGTAGGCACATTTCTCGCTTCAGCTCAAAGGATGTAAAATAAACCTCTACAGCTTTTTGTTTTTAAAGGGAAATACTGACTTAACACAATTAATAAATGCTAAAATAAAAGTGAAGCGACATGAAACCTCCGTACAAATGAGTTGAAGCCAATAGATAAACGTGACTTGGCTCCACGTACGAAGGTTAATGCCCGTGAGCCCTTGGGTCTCTGAGTAACCCTTAGCTCAGGAGACCAAGATTCTGGTATAGTTGTACAGCACCTCTGGCATCCATAGTACTAAAAATAAATGCGATAAATACACAATGTGAAAGGAAATCATACCGGCTTAAGGGTCCACAACTGTTCATTGACTTCACTTATAAACGCCTTTGCTTGATTGACAAAGTCACAAACATGTCCACGGTTTAAAGACTGCAAAGAAATTTAGTTCAGAAATCAGTTTTTTAAAAATACTTTAATCATATGAAATAACATACATGCAAAAGCATAAGAAACTAATAATACTGTACAAACAAAAATATCATATTTGCGCAGGAGGTTAAACACAGCTGAAATATACAAAAAGGCTTAATACGGTTAAATATACAAAGTTACAAAGACAGAAAATTTCTAAAAATATGCCCAAAAATCTCCATCAAGAAAAATTTAATAAAAATATGCTGAATATTTTGCCTTTCCTGAATATTTTGCTTTTTCACATTTCATCTATAACTATCGCAGTCCAGGGCTTGGCTGGAAAGCATAATTGGGCCTAACACACAAACATAAATTTGCATGGGGATTTGTAGAGGCAAAAGGAATGCAGCAACAGATCTTATGTACCTCGGACCGTGCAACGTCAATCTGTTCAATTATATTGCTCATGGACACAGCTGATTGATATAGCTCTTGGTGCACCTCGGAACATATCATAGACACAGCTTTAATACTAAAAACATAAAAAAGATTATCGCAAAGCTGGGCAAAATACTTTCATAATTTGAAGATGCCAGAAGGGATCATTCTAAAACGTATCAAGCATGACATCTTTGGCCTGTTTTTCAATCATGTGATCAAATAGGGAAGACATTCTCTGATGCGTTTTGAATTTAGGAAAAGAAAATACTATCACCCCAAACCTTGAAGAATTTGTTACGAAGAAGTAAGAGAAGTCTTCATTGGTGTTTCAATTCAACAAATTCGAAATATGCATACAACTTGCTAATGCAAAACAAAGCACGAGAAACCGCCGGCCAAATTGATAAGAACAAAACAAAAAGGTGATAAAAAGCAAAGACAAAGATCAAAACCCGGCTTTTCAAGTGTTCATAAGGGGATTCATTCATCGTAAGTCATTTAACAAAACTTGTTACTGCCTTCCCCAACAGGCAAACAAAACAGGGCACAATTTGCGCGTGGTATATTAGTTTCTATAAAATTTCAACGGAATTTATCACAATTTTCATTTGTAGTACCACTTTTAAAAGGGCGCAAATAGTCACTTAAATGGTTTAAAAATTCAGCTTCAGCAAAGAAAATAGCCTTGTGAGGAATAGAGCAGGCAAAGAATGGACCCTGCACAGATCAACACAACACTGAAAGGGTGGACAGATGACCTTACCCTCTACTGGATTCTACTGTTCTCAAAGTTAAAGAGGAGAACTAACCCGCGAACAAGTGATAATAATGAATTTGATAATGGCTTGAGCAATTCTTCTTCCTCCGAAGAAAGGGGCTCGTTTATTCGATCATCTTTGCCCTGTTTTAGTTCATTCCAAGATCGCAACGTTTCTTCAAATTCCTAAAAAAACAATTGATTGATAAAGTCAATAAACAAAATGTGCATTTTGTTTAACAACCAGTACCGTGTTATACGTTGTGTAATTGAAATTTTCCACGTGTGGGGAAGGCAGCATATTCATTAAACATGATTTATGATAATGCCTTCACGATGTAAACTCGTACTGCAAAACCAAGACGTGCAAAAATGACCCCTTCTACTGCAACACGTAAAAACTAAATTTGTTCAGTGCTCACATTTGTTAAAGGCAATTTATAGATACAAAAATGGCTTAAACCATCTGACAATCAATATCAGCCAATCGATAAGCTTGTGAGTGGAATCGCACTCGCTGATTGGTCAATTTTCCAATTTTTTGAAATCGAAATTTTCTAAAAACACCAAGTAAAGAAGCCATGCTTGTTAGGAAAAACTATTTTGAACTACATTTACTAAATGACAGTGCAAAATATATCTCTAGTATAAAGGTACAGAGATCGTACCATATTTTAGTAAGTGAAAAATGATTGTCTGAAATCCAATGGTCCAAAAGATAGTCTGGGTTTTGTTTCGCCATAAAAGTTTTGAAAGGTCTCTTTGCAATCAACAAATAAGAATCGGACCACAAAGTGTGAATTTTTTGGCCTGAAGTGACAATATTGTTAGCGATTAAGGCTCAGGTAAACAAACGTACTGGCAACATAACATTAAAGATATCTACTTCATAACCCAAACTGCCATGCAAGTATACAAAGGAAAAGCATTTGACCAATAAATTTCCTCGTGAAAGCCGAAAATACAACCTACTCGATGATCTCATATTTTCATTCTGTAGTTATAAATGTTAAACAGCGTACCCTATCCCTAATCAACATGGCCACCCTGTTTTTGTGAACAATGTGAATTATGCCTGGCTCCTGAAACCAAGCCTCGCCATCAACTTGCACAGGCACAGCCTCGTCTGTGATTGTAATCTTTACTGTGTGGCACTGCGCAATTCTGCAATGTTGCATTCCTCCAAACACCTTGGACATTCCCATTTGGCTGGCTCGTAGAACAGCAACAACCTCTAGCATCCGATCGTCAAAAGATGGCGGATAGAAACCCTTGAAAGAATAAAAATGCAGGACAATTGATAGAAACTTCTACTCATAGCAATGGCCAAGAGAAGGGGAAATGATCAAGTGCCCAGTCTGCTAACGCAAATCTGAAAAATTCCGCAATCAGGAAGAAATCTTTCAGCAAAAATAAAAATATTTGCCAACTTAAAATATATTTTTCCACTCAGCCTCTGGTAATTTAGTAGGTTAGAGCAAGAGAGGAAAGAGAGAGAGGATTTAGTAATCTGATTGGTTATATGGCGTAATTGATTTTTCATTGCGGTGTTTCTCGAATTGCATTCCATTCAGAAACATGGCAACCAAATACTAGGAAGCCTGACTAGGAATGATTCTTAACGGTCTAGAAATCTAACTGCGTTTCTCATAAATTGCTAATGAACTAATCTAATTTAGATTTATAACCAAACTTCGTATAACGTGGATTCAAGAAGCTTTGTGGTAACTTGAAAACAAGAAATATGCTTAAAATCGACAAAAATCTTAAGCTCTGACTTGATGTGTCTCTCGACCCAAACAAACTTTGCATTGATGACCCTGTTGATCGCTTTCATACAAAAATGTCTACAGGTAATCAGAAGATGCCAGGGAACTAAAATCCTTGGCATTTTCCACCATACGATACAACACAATCTCTTTGGGTACTCCCTGTCACATATATACAACATGTTGCAACATATACGCAACGCTAAATAGAATAAAAACCGCTGCAGAGTGCTAGATGCCAAAAAGATTGCTCTAATACTCTCCAGTACAACGCTGTACCACTCTCTAGTACAAAAACATCACAGTTGAACAAAGTGCCGTATCAACTTGGAAAAGGTCGAGGGAGCGTGGAGGAAAGGTGTAAACTTTAACACACAGAAGTCACGAGATTTCTCATTACTCAAGATTCCCACGAGGTTCTGAATTCGTAGAGAAGTGCGATAAGAGCTTAACAAAGTTTAAAAAGCTGGTTTAAAAACCAGTTCAATGAAAATACTCACATTGACATCCTTCTTAGTTCCCCAGAAATTTGCACCTCCCATGTAGCTGCAAAATAAGTTATTCGGCAAATTCACATGATGGGATATCCATCAAAATTTGGCATTTTGATTAACGATTATATTAGGTCAAGCTAATAGGAAGAGACAAGGTTTTACTCTCTAACAAACAATCACCCTACAGTGGCGCTTCTATATAACGGACGCTTCTCAGACCAGTGTAACTGGCCGCTGTATAAAGGTGTCCGTTGTATCAATGTTCCTTTAAGAACGTGTAAAGAATGTTCCTCATTAAAACAATGAATTCTCTCAAAATTAAATCAAAATTCAAGCTTTGCTGTAGTTTAGCGTCATCTGTTATAATTTATCAAGGCTTAATGGACAGAACTAGAAACTATAAAAATATCAACAAGCGCTTTTAAGATATGGAAGATTTCGTTAACATCTTCAGGAGGATGCAACAACACGTCAACTGAATACTCAACTCACCTTGGAATATTCAAGATAACGATGCCCTGGAGACTGGGAAGGTTGATTGCATGTCCATCACACTGTAAAGTATCAAAACTTATTATTTCATTGGATGAATTCTTTCCATATTCCATATCCTTGCACTTACTTGAAACAGGCTTGTGATTTTTTAAGGCCTGTACCTATGAGATTGCTGCTAGAAGCCTGTACCTAAGAGATTTATGCTAGCATCACCACAGTGTAACATGGTTCAGGAATAAATGACAAAGGCAGGCATTTGCTCTACCACGTGAAAATTCCTGGAAGGAATATAACTTACTGGTCTTTCTTTGCATCTTAAGAATGACCGCCTGAGAACAAAATTTGGATAAATATGCAGATGTCAGAGAATTTCAAGGGTGAAAAATACAAAGCATATCGAAAACATGTTGTCCACGATACAGAAAAGCCAACAAATTGACTATTACGGTAATAACCCATAAGTGGATAAGAAGGACATGGCTTATTACCTCGATATGAACATTTTTATCCAAGTTCTTATAAGTGCTGTTAACCATCTCTTTGCCTCCAAGAACGCCATACCATATCATATTCTTTTTTCGACTCCTAAATATACATGTAACAGATTAATTTGAGAAAAATATGGGATTTGACTTATAAATGGGAAAGGATGGAGGGATACCATCTAGGCAAACAACTTTCCCCACACAAAGATAACGGGGAGGAAGGTTGGCAGGGTTAGATATTAAGTTTTAATAACGGAAACAAAAGGCAGAAAAGCATTTCGCTCGTAATGACATCATGATGAACTCGATTGGCCGAATTCTTGATTGTTGTTGTCGTATTGTGATAAAGATTGGGTGATTTGTCATGGGATATCCGTGTTCATAGAAACGCAATAGCCATTTGGTGTGTTATGCATACAATTTTTACTTTATTTATAGCTGGTACAATATCTAGCGACCCTAAAGTTGAATATGACAGAATATGACCTCGCTCGTGCACGATAATTTTAGGAACGTTTTTCGTGTGCGAACCTCCTTTCACTTAACATATAACGTGCAAACAGAAGTTTTCTATATCTACGCTATCATAAATTTGGTGTGCTACTTAAAATTTTGGCGTACAGAACTACACTGACATCATTCGTGCCCCCGCCACACTCTGAAAACTGGCACTAAACCAACTAATTTAAACTGCCAACGCACAATATAAATCGCACATGACCAAAGCAGAATTAATGCTTGAGAGGTTGGGAGTATTTTACATTGTCGAAGATTGAGTTCCTTATTTGGCTACATCTGTATGACACAATGTTAAATCCTTGTCTTTTGTAATTTGACTCCTTTGTTTTGAATTGAGAACCACCTTATATGCTGACGGTTTAACTTGATGATGATGACGTTATCAACAACAGAGTTGCTCTATGTTTACACACGTGAGTCACAACGAGAACAGAAAACCAGAAGGCCTATTTTAAAGTGACTCTATATGAGGTATATCACACATCACGAAAACTGAGCTAACATAGTAAGTTGAAGTTATAGATTCTATGGTTGTCAACTGCCTGACTTTTAAAAATTCAAACCAATTTTGGGGATCTTTTGAAGCAAACAACTCAATCAGTAAATAGCCAAAATCTTTCTTTTTGACCGGAAATGACGAAAAAGCTAACCGCAAAATTAAACCCTGCTTTACACTAGGTCATCATATCAAATTAGCTTGTTGATTACGTCAAATAGGTTGAATAGCATCAAATAAACGGTGAGTTGACGTCAATGAAAAAGCCTTTATTACCTAACTACACACTAACCTGCATTTTTCCGGGTGTTCCTCCCTCTTGTTGTGAAAATCAAGGCAGATCTTTGCGTCTATACCAATGCCAAAGTAATTATTCATCACACATTTTTCTTCAAATGTTGACCTAAAAATAATTCAACATTTACGAGTTTCCTCTTACAATCATAACACAACCAAATAGCCTTTGACAATCGCAAACAACGAATTTACGTAAATACCTAAATTTTGGGAAGGAGAAAACTCGCAATATTCAATGTTTCCAAAAATATCATATCTTCAGCTTTGAAATCCTCCCTGACCGCTAACCCTGATTGATGAAAAGGTAGAGGGACAAAAAAAATAATTAGGCCACGCTCTTTTACCAACAGGGAACGCCAGTTTTGTCCGAAGTGAACGCCTATGACTAACTTCTGTTTGAAAATTGGCAGTTTGAAAATCATAGGATTACATTACAAAAAGCACGGTGTCAAAATATTACCCCTCCCCCAACATTTTCACATCGAATTTGGACGAAATACAAAATCGGTTCTGCTGAGAATTGGGGGGAGGGGACGTGTCCCCCCAGTCCCCCCCGTGGCGCCGCTACTGGGTATGATTATACAGTAAAGGTCAGCTAAGCAAATAGGTCTTCAAATCTTTGACGGCCTAGCTAGCAGCTGACAAAAATGGTCCCCTTTGGAATGGTCACTTGTCCCTTTCTTACCAGGGCCGCTTGAAAAAGTCATATCTGCTAACGGGAAAGCTACAAAATTAACCAATGGTAAATGGCTAAAGTAAAAAACCCTTCCATTAGAGTTTCACAAATGAACTTACAAGTCTTCCTCCTTCTCAACTTCCGGCATCGCAGCTGCTGCGAGCGCATTGGCATTAGCCAAAAGCACTCTGCTTATAAATCTGTGTGTAAGCTGCTCCTTGACAAAGGATTTCGCGATGACCGTTCCGGGGAAAACTACAGTGTTACTGTCCTGATGTTTCTTCATTACAGTGTCCGGTTTTAAAAATCGATATGTTGGGTTCATGTATCGCGTCGGACCTGTAAAAAGAATAGGACTTCTCGTTAGGCCGAATGGTCCGGCCGCAAGAAATGTAATTAAGCAAAGAAGTGTTTGAGCGCTTAATATCTCCTCTCCACACCGGTTTTATCTTCATAGCATCTAGCTGGGATTATGAATTTTCAAAAAATTAGCAATGCAAAGAATGAAGAAAATTTTTTTTCGGTGGTAGGCTGAAGGAAAGAGTTGAAGGTGCTGCAAGATAAAGGAACTGAAGACACAGTGGCTTAACCATCAGGCAGAAAGAACACAAATATTTTATTTTTTTGGAAATTTAGGGTAAACAATATTTTCCAGTTTTAGCTACAAATTGAGCAAAACCGTGCAAGTGTGTAGGGTGCGAGGGAGATTATTGTCTATAATGTTAAACTCACAACTTTTCTTACGCATTCTTTCAGGTGGTGACGATATCATGGCGGTGTTCTTCGCTTGGTCGGTGTGAAGTCCTATGCCTTGACAAAAATAAAACATTATAATTAGTTCTGACTTTAGCTGCGCAGGCGCTCTTTTCATGACAAGAAGCATGTCATGAGAAATGGCCATATTGGGCGTCGAATGTATACACAATGTCGATATTTCAGACTGAAGAATGAAGAAAGCGTAGTCTAGAAAGAAACATTTGATTTGCTAGTTAGTTTTTAGTGTTAGCTGCGGCGTCAAAAGGTTGAGTACGAGTTACAGCCCGAAAAATTTGCCAAAAGATCAATGCATCTAAAAATGCGACAAATTTATTTCGTAGGGATACATTACAATCATTTCTCATCTTAAAATGGAAAATAGCGCGCTTAGAAGCATGTAGAACCGAAATATTTTTCACCCATTATCTCTGGGTGCACGTAAAGAGGCAAATGGCTCCCTCTCCGCGGTGATTGGCGTCGGCACTATTCGGCGTTCATGTTTAACTACGCGAAACTGAAGTGGTCATAAACAACTTCTGCTGTGCATTACTATAAACCTAAAAAGGAGATATTGTACAGTCTTTTCTTATCACGTTACATAGGCAAACTTCTCCTTCAGCCTCAGCCTACTTGACAATATGAGACTACCAGTGCGAATAAATACACTCTCTTTTTATAAGAATACTTTAAATTCTCCTCAAATACTCATTTTTTTCAAATCTGATAAAGTTTCAGGGGAACGTTGCCCGCCCTCGAATAGAAACCATGCTTTTTGAGAAGGAGAGATATGTCAGTCATGCGATTCTCACTTGTGAACATGGAAAAACATGCAATTGCGGAAAATGAGACACAAATATGTGAGCTGGGGCTAAGCAATATTCTTACAATAATCTTAAGAATTGGGTGATGAATTGCAAGACCGCACGCTGTTTCAATACAGAAGCACCGTAAAGCATTTGAAACCAAATCTGCGAACGAGATGTCTACTTTTAACGAAAGTATGACAAAAATAGTCCTGGTTTATCGAAAAATTTCACAATAATTTTGTGGCGGTTCAGAGCGAATGCCTTTTGAAAACATATCAATGCTTTATCAAATTTCGGTCATTCAACAAATATGCAATAAATTTTGAATTTGAACCAAAACAAAGTGACAAAATGTCTTTTTAAATACTTCCTTATCTTTTTCAGCTTCAACACCAATAAAATTCGGATTATTTTAATTACCTTCAAAATAAAGTTAGAAGTTTCTAAAAATCAATTTTTCTGATCTTGTTTTAAAGCCACAAGAATCTAAAAGATATGATATCGTGTTTTTATCGTCTGGCTGTAAGTGTGTAGGAATTGACATGATAAGAAATGATGTTTATTGAGATACATTTTACTATTAAGAATGTTGTTTTTTCCCCTTAGAAGAAAAGGGGCTTCAAAAAAGAAAGGCAAAGCTGAACGGTGGCTAAAGCTGAAAATACAGACGTCGGAATAGTACAATGGTTCGTTACTAAAAATGCCTAACTGGGAGCATGGTTGGTTGAATAACATTCAAAGCAAGCAATGTTGACTTTTTCAGCAAGTTATAGGAAAAGACAACTCAGATTTCCGGCAAATTGCAACTTGCATATTGTAAGTTTACAAGAACATGGTTCAGGGTGAGAGCTCTAGAGCGCGAAAGATTGTGGACCAAGTCTGTTTTTACTTCGATGTACAGGCACAGAACTCGCTGAAGGCCTATGGCTAACAGGCTTGAGTAGAAATCTTTCATGTGAGAGGGGATGTGTTTGATCTCATGATCAGCAAGCTTTGATGCTTGGAATGTTTCAATACTAGGTTAATTCAAAACGCAACATACCTAGGTTCTAGAACCGTTTTCAAGCAAAAAGTATAAAATCTCTTCGTTTGGTCAATGCACATGAAATAGTTTGCTGGTTTGATCTAAATATATGTTTTTGAAATTCAAAGCTTTCTAGGGCTTGATTCTAGAGTGCTGCAAACACGATCAACTATGAAGGTGTAACCTTAATTAGATATAATGAGGGCAGGGTTGTTGAAAGGGGTTGTGCAAATCTGCAATGTGAAAATTTTTTCGCTATGCAAGCTTCTCATTGACTCCAGATGTTCTATGCACCAGGCATATAATGCCTTTCAGGGCCCACGCTACTGACCTTAAACTGGAGAGGACAACAATGTAAAGAAAGCTTCCTCTTACCCCCTCTAGCCCCAATGGTGGCAAACATTTTGCTGATGCTGTTTTACCTGTTTTCTTTGGTTCAATGTATTTTTTGTAATCTAAATATTTATCAATATGGATAAATTGAGCTTATTTTATACTTATATTTAGCGAAAAGCGGGCAGGCTATTGCCATACTGCCCTTCCCGCTTCCCCGTGGCGCGGGCCCTGCCATTTGATATTGAAAAATGGCAGAAAATTTGCAATAATATATGTGGGCAACATGCAGATTGATTGATGCACTAATAATAAGAGAAGAATAAGGGGAGAAGGGGCTGAAGAAGGAGTTGAAAAAGACGAAGAAGAAAAAGAAGAGAAAGAAGAAGAGAAAGAAGAAGAGGAAGAAGGAGAAAGAGAACAGGAAAAAAGAATAAGAAAAAAAGATGAGAAAAGAGGAGCACGGGTGGAGTGGGAAAAAATGAAGAGGAAGCAGTTAAAGAAAGGAGATGAATACGAAAAAGAAATCAAGGGAGATGAAGAAGGAGACGAGAAAGTAGAAAAAGGAAGAGGGATTAGCATGTAAGTGTGGAAAAAGAGGTAGATGAGGAACTAGGAAGATGCAGAATAAGTAGAATGATGAATCAACGTGAAAGATTCTCATACTTCCTTGACTGGCGCTCTTCCGTCGCTCTACATTGACAAGGGACTCATCAATTGTAATTAATTCGCCATGTAAATTCAGATCCCGTTCGATTCTGCCTTGAGATATTGAAATATCCTTTTCGTTGCCACTGTCTTTATCATCAATGTCGGTCATTGAGCTAGACGTCCTTGAGTACGATGACATCGATTCTGAGGACTTGTCCAGCGAAAGACAAGCAACAGCCTCTTCCACCTGTTTGGTCGTCTGTGCATTTTGTTCATCCACAGCTGCAAATGAAAATAGATATCAAAGCTTGCCAAAACTGCAGGACAGTATTATGGAGATAGAAAGTATTTTTCCACACACATTTCGAAATTTCACACCTTTCCCCAAAAACGAATGAAATCCGACATTAATTCCCGCCCCCCCCCCCCTACTCCAAAAAAATGAAAACTGGATTTTTTACATGAGTTAAATCCCGAATTTGAGTGAACATACCCATGACTTAAATCCCGATTTTATCTTATTCCACCCCAAAATGAACCCATGTCGCATATCTAAATGATATGCAGTAGTTCGTTCGACCAGCAACTGTTGAAACTTCATTTCGGGCAAAGTTTTGCTTCAGGTCACATTTAAAGGCACTCCAAGCCAAGTATCAAGCCATTCGTGAAAAGACAAGTGAAATGACAAAGTGACAAATGAAGGTGCAAAATACCTTTCTCTGTGTGGGTGATTATTTCCCTTACGGCTTTCTTTAAACTATTCGCTCTCGACCATAAATGTTCTTTAGGAATATCAATTTTCGGTTTTCTTTTTCTCTTTGGTGTGATTTCAATCGAAGCTTCCTCCACACCAATCTCTGAGTCCGAATGGGATTTAAAAGATTCAGAAAGCTTCCGATCATACTGAACAGCCTCTTCTTGAAGATGTTCCAGGCTACTACGACGATGCGAAAAGGACTGTGTTTTCTTGCCAGCCTCTGACTCGACCTGAAGAGTCTTCAGCAGGAGGCTCATTTTATTTTGCAATTTCATGCATTTCTGTGACATGGATTCTGGGTCGGATGCCTCGTCTGGATTGGAAGATGCCGATGCATTGCCAACCTGTGCCACAAAGTCTTTCACAGTTTCAAATACAAATCTACAACAAATAACACAAATTTCTGATGATGCAAAACAAAGAGACAAGCACAACATTGCAGAAAAGTTTGCAGAAATGGCTTTGGCCAAAAAGGGAAATTTCAAGTGGAACTTTGTTGAAAAAAACCTTAAGTCGTGGATTACTTATTTCATTTTGTATCACTTATGAAGATACAACGAATTTTAGGCTCACATGAAAAAAAATCGTCTTTATTACGGTTTCTTTGGAAAAATGAGGGCCGACATTACAATAACTGAAGTTTTTGTATTAAGATTGAGAATCTTAATCAGGTTTAAGATTTTGCAATTTAGTTTTCCCCAGAACGAGCAAATGTGATTTGGCAGTGGTAATACTTTATGGATAATCAGTAAGGGAAACTATTTTTTAAATGAAGACAGAAAAAGGTTGCTTTTCACTAGAAATTTTAAACATGTCAAAGGCTACCACAGTGTCAACCTTTTATGAACCACAGCGCATATTTCATATTGAAAAATTCCAAGGTATATCAGTTACCAAAAATGTTAAAAAACGACATTGAATATCAAATATTGACAATATTATTTTTCAATAAATTAATAATCACGTTTTTAGAAAACTAAGCATATAATTCTCTAGGGCAGAAATTACAAAATCTCACAGAACAGTGGATGAGAATCACTGGGTCCCTGACACTGATTGGTCAAAATACATCCAATCAGAAGCAGCTTTATTACCACTGGCTCATTTCGAATAAACAGAATCATCTTGCCAATACTCAGAAGAGAGAAGGCTTTAAATACACAAATATTACGGAACAAGGCATAAAAATTTATTGGCCAGGATATTTTTCTACTAGAGGGCTTTATTTCCAAACTTGCTGTCTTTTATATGTGAAGGAATTACAATGATTAACGAAAAATGCAGGATAGACTGACCTGGCCGACTGCAAGACCACATCATACTGGTTTGAGCTTAGCATCCTCGTCAGGTGCATTCCAATGGAATCTTCGTATCCGGTTATTGATCCATCAGCCTTAAATGCAACCACTCTACTTTAACAAGATGGGAAATATTCGCAGTTAAATCTATTGTATTAAGGTCCTTATATTGATACGGTTTTAACAGGCATGTTTAGAAAACAGTACGATTTACTGAGATTTTCATACCTGTTTAAATATTATCAATTAAATAATATGATAAAATCAAAGATGTGTGGAATCTTACCTCATGTCGATCCGAGGGAAAACGCTTGACACAAATGCTCCATCTGAAAAGGGAAAATGTGAAAAATGGTTAAGGGAAATTTAAGTAACGAATTTGAGTGAGGTTTCCTTAGGTTCTTAAAATTAAGGTTAAAACTAAAAACAAAGTAAAAGAAACAATGAAATGTAAATTCAGAAAAATTCTACGAGCGCTGCCATCATAAAAATTTGCATAAAACGTAATCTAATATAAGTCATCTGTTTTGTTGGTTTTTTTTCAGAGATAATTTTTTAATTAGAAATTATCACAATCTCAAAATAGGGCAACCTTGCTTATTGTACACCCAGAAATAATTTTTGATTAACTTTTGGTACTAGAATCTCCCATAAGACAGAAAGAATGGTTCGAAAGAAGTTCTTTCTGACGTCACAATGATGTCATTATTTAACAGTGTTATTACAGATATTTTTGCGATATCTCTGCAACAGAGAGGGGTTCCTTACGTCGTAAAACGAAAACCAAGCGCAAATTTCTGGAGCTATATGTCTAATAAATAGCATGTGAAAAATTTAGATTGAATATGATACAAAGAAATCATAAATTAAGCATTGTTGCAGTAAATATGAAATTCTCAAAAACTAAATGTTTGATTTGTATAATTCGACTCATAAGTTGGGTTAGCTGAACAGTCTAATTATTAAATAAGTAAATAGCCAATCAAAAAAGGTTTTGACAAGTCAATGCTTGTATCCTATTCGGCGTTATGTTATTCGGCGATCCATTAGGTGTTATGTTATAATAAATTGTAACGGATGTGTGAATAAACGACTTTGATCACGAGTAAAAAGTCAGTATTGTTAATTTAGTCTACTAGAACATGTAACAACCTGTCTAGCATTTCTGGTCTTGCGCGTTCCAACTGTTTCAGGACTAGGGGGACGACCCCTACGTCATAACAGGTGCTTCCCCATCCAAGTACACGTGCCAAGTCGTTGCCAGTGCCCAGCGGTAAAACAGCAATCTGACACTACAACGTAAAATCAAATTTCTCAGGTATGATAATTAGGGATGATAGGGCGAGGTGAATGTTAAATGCGGTTTTGAAACAAAAAAATCATGGAATTGTTGAAAGTTCAGAATATGAAAGGCAACAGGCAACATGCAAGGTATGAAAGGGGGGGGGGCACCTAATCACTCACCAGCCAGTAAGAAAAACCCCGTTAGCCGTTGAGGCTACTTGAATAGACCAAAATATAGGCGCCCTTTAAAAACAAACTAAACTCAACTCAATGAAGTCAAAATCAATGAATGATGGTCATCAGAAAAAAAAACATTTCAAAAAACGTGTTTGTATTTGCGATTCGTAGGAACAGCTCATTTATTATTCACACAGAGCTGCATTTCATTCATTTTGCAAACTGACCAGATCGGAAAAACAAACATGAAAGAGTCAATGATTGCACTGCGAGAGCAAATCATCAAAATCCAGCGTAAATGCGAGTCAGTGTGCGTCAATTAGAAAAACTCGGTTGATTTTGGTAATTAGGACCAGCATCAGTGATGGTGGCTATCACACGGGCCTTGAAAGACAGCAAGAAGTATTTGTATATGTACAGCGACTCAATGCTGCTTTAAGAAAGTAACTGGTTCAATTATTTTGAGACATTAAGGATTACACTCTTATTTTTTAAAAGAACCAGCAAATTGAATTTTAGTCTCCCTGTTCTTACTTTTTGCAAAATTTTGAGGCTGGATTTTTTGCTTTCTAAAGCAGCGTCATCGCTAGCTATTTTCTAAAGCAGCGACTCCAGTTTGCCAACAAAGTGGATGAGCCATCCATCATTCCAGTTTTAAAATCCACCGAAAAATCAACCCTAGATGGCAAAATATTCTGCGTTTTTGAAATGAAACATTTTAACCTTTGACCAATTTTGAGCTTCGTGTTCCTATCAGATTGTTCTTATGAAAGATTAAGAGTGTAAAAAGAATAAAAAAAGCCATGGTTTTAATCTGCAATACACATAATTAAAAGGAAAACTGTGTGAGAATTTATCTAGGACTTGTTTCTCTAAATCCAATGTAAATCTGGGGATTAAAACAAAACGCAGAACAAACAGAAAAGCAGATGGGGTTAGCTGTTTTGAATTATTTGAATGCTGAAAAAAGAAATACTACAACACTGAAAATGTTTGCCTGGCTGTAGTGGTTTGGTAAAACATTAAATGTGTTCTAGATTCGATGTTGTTTAGTACGTCGGAAAAGGCCTTAGAGTATTGCGATATCTAAATCTTCAAGGCCAATTACCTTATTTGTAAGCTCCTGTTTATCAACTTCTGTCAGCACCCATCCAACAGATCCATCACCACCACAAACCAGTATACGAAAATGCTCAAAATTTTTGGACATATTCAGACTAAAAAAGAAAGCAAAAGAGTGATGCTTAAAAAATCGATAAAAATCGAAGTAGCTGAATGCAGATTAACTGTATGCCCAATCACAAATAAATCATGAATAACAGTATTAAGAGAATCGTTTTCTATGAAGGAAAAAACATGATTTCAAGCATATTTCTTTTCGTTTCCTTTCTTTTCAAAACTAAACAGTCCAAAATGATGAAAATTATCTGACACTTAATACCCAAAGGACTGCTGAACTGAAAGCACTTAAGTATTTTACAGCCTGTCTGTTCCGTTTTTAAATTTCTAGACCGAAAGTTAGAAAAGAAGTGAAAGTAGACTTTTATTTGAAAGACACATACCCAAGAGTTGGACCAGCAACACTTAAATCAAAGACTTGAGCTGGGTTCAAAAGTTGCTTAAACGTTCTCATGAATCGTATACCCTGCAAAATAAAACACAATAAAAAGGGTTAGTAAAGTAAATTTGGTCATGATCTGGCGTTTATACTCAAGAGGATAAAAAGCACTTTTTAGTATGAATTGATTCTGAATTTCGATGCTACTTTTAAATACTGCAATCTCAAAGACTTATTTGTGGATTATAAAACTGCTTATTTCCAAATGTTTCACTGATGTTTACTAGTCCTCCCTGGCGATGAATTTGATAACTATACTAAGTCACTGCCAACCTCCGCTTGGACCGTTATGTTCGCGCGGGTATTGTGACATACCGTACGCGTGCACCTTCGAAAACTTTAACAGATCGCTTTGGTCGATGAGCAAAAAAGATGTTAGTAGGCTTTGCTTATATGTGACACGCGCGTGAGTCAAACGTTTATAATATAATATAATATAATATAATATAATATAATATAATATAATATAATATAATGTAATATAATATAATATAATATAATATAATATAATATGATATAATACATTATCATATAGTAGATAATATAAAGTATAATATCATATAATATAATATAATATAATATATATAATATAATATAATATAATATAATATAATATAAATATATAATAATAAATATAATATAAATATAATATAATATAATATAATATAATATAATATAAATATAATATATATATAATAAATATAATATAATATATATAATATTAATAATATATATAATAAATATAATATAAATAAATATAATATAATATATATTATATAATATAAATATATATATAATATAAATAATATAAATAATATAATAATTAGATATAATATAATATAATATAATATAATATAATATAATATAAATATAAATATAATATAATATAATATAATATAATATAATATAATATAATATAATAATTCATTTATTTACAGTAGGCGTTCTTTACAGTAGTAGCTAAAAGATAAGCTAATTAAAGCCTACTATTTATAGGAATAAAAATGATAATATTATACAGTGATATAAAAGCTATTTAAAGAAATAAATAAAAATACCTAGGATTCAATTAGATAAATAGTTGAAAATAATCATGTTAGATGATTCATGTCAAGAACCCGACCTGTGCTACAAAGGTTTTACACAGCCTGCAGTTGCAATTATCCTTCCATTGTTTGATCTTTACTTCAAAGGTATTAAGAGTATTTAGGTTTTTCAAGTTTTCTGGTAGATCGTTCCAAAGCTCACATCCTAAATAGGACAAGCTTTCGATTCCATGAGTGATGGTTCGAGATTTTGGGATTTTTTTGGATTCGTTTATTTACTGTTTCTAAGGCGGTAGTGGCTTCTCTTTTGTATGAATATTTCATTCATAAAGCTTGGATTGAATTTATGTACAGTGCTGTAGATCTCAATCATTAGTAGCTGCAGGTTTTCTTTTGTGTATGGAGACACAGTTGTTTTCAATCAGGAAAGTATTAAAATCTGACACATTGTTTTCGCATGCGATACGCAGTGCTTTTTCATGTATATGGTTTATCTTATTATTTAGGGTTTTGTCACAGAACATCCATACAAGTGGGCAGAAGCTAAATTAGGATAGAATAAATGCTCTCATTGTTTATTTGAGTTGTTCTGTGCTTAAGTAGCATTATTATTATCTGTCTATTTAAAGTAGGCGTATAAAAATAGTTACAAAATAAAAGCTTATTCACGCCTACTACAAAGTAAAATTGTTTGAAAATAAAAAATAAAACCACATATATATCTAACATAAGAAACAATTAAATATAAATACAAATATACATATTTTACAATGTTTTTACAGTATTTTTTGGCATTTACAATACAATAAATTTATCCGTTCAAGAACCCAACCTGAGCCACGAAAGGTCTACACAGTCTACAGTTGCATTCCTCTCCTTTTCAAGATTTCATTCTCCTTCAACGCTGGAGAAGGTATCTGATTGTTTCATGTCATTGGGAAGTGCTTGCCACAACCTTCTCCCTAGAAACGATATCGTCTCTAAGCCATAGCACGTAGTGCGCGCTTGTGGCAGTAGTAGATTGTGGCAGCTTCTCAATCCATACGTACTGTGTTTTTCAATAAAGATATCCTTTTATGAAAGTAGGATTGAGCTCCCATTTGGTTTTATAAATTTTGAATCATCAACAGTTGTAAATTCCTGATGTGGATTGGAACCGCATTGTCTCTGAGTAACATTGTGTCAAAATTTGATTTCATATCCTTGTAAGTTATCCACAATGCCCGTTCGTGAATACGATTAACTTTACTTTTAAGTGTTCTATCGCAGAACATCCAAACAAGAAGACAGTAGTTAAACTGGGACAAGATAGATGCCTTCATTATTCTCTTTAGTTGTTCAGTATCAAGAAAGTGAGAGATTCTCGAGAGAGCATTTAGCTTTTGCCAAGCCTTTTTGCAAATTGACCTCAATTGCTTCTTAAAGCATAATGTTTTGTCCAGAATCACTCCAAATAGCTTTTCTTCCGTCCTCTCTTTTATCCTGACACTTCCGATATTTAAAAAAATAGCATTACTTTTATTCCCAAAGACCATTAGATAGCATTTGTCCTCATTCAACTTCATACAGTTGTTCGGGAACCATTCTGCAATTTTTAGGGCATCACTCTCTAATGTTTTAATGATATTATCAATACTGTTGTCACAAGCATAGATAGTTTTATCATCTGCATAGTTACATATTTGAGCATCATTCACAAACATGAAGAGATCATTGAGGTATATGTTAAACAGAAGAAGTCCCAAGACCGAGCCCTTTGGTACACCAATCGTTGTTTCTCTCCATATGATGAAGGACCCATTCCTCTTTACTCTCTGCTCCCTCTCGTTGAGATAGCTATGGATCAACCGAAATGCACTTATACTGAAACCACAAGCACTTAATTTCGCAATCAAATGCTCATGATTCAAGCAATCAAAAGCCTTTGAGAGATCCATCAGCAGTGCTCCAGCGACACCCCCTTTATCTAAGGTATTTTTGCAGGTCGTAAAAGTGCATGTTGGGTTTCATATCCCTCCCGAAATCCACACAGAAGAGGAGAGAGGAAGCTAAGGGAATGAGGTTTTATCTGACCCTCCATTACTCTCTCGTAAATTTTGGAAACTAGGTCCATAATTTTTCTTTATAAAGGCATCAAGACTTTTGAACAGGGACGAGACCTCACCAGTTTTTAGTTCCTTTGGATAATAGCACTCAAATAAATCAGAATTGAAGAGCTTGTGGATGAGGACAGCAAGAATGTCTGCATTCTGTTTGAGGATCTTAGCTGGAATGCTATTTAGCCAGAATAAGATCAACCCTTCTTCTTCTTTTTTCGAATGGGTCCTTTCTTGCAATTAGGCCCGAACCTGGGATCGATATTTTCTCTTTTTCGATTGATTTGGCAAGACAAATGATCTCCTTTGCAAAATAATGGCATCTTGTTTATATTCGATGGTTGGTTTAACATAATGTTTCATTCGTTCAACATTTGCTCCGCTGATAGACTTCACATAAATCCTCTTATTCTTGTTACAACGATGTTATAGCTCCCAAGGTTTAACGTTCTTTGCTATGGAATCTCCGACGATAACAGTTCTGTGTTTTTGCTTGGCATCTTTCTTTCTTTCCTTTTCAGTATCATGCCTTGTGTCTTTCTCTTTGGGGACTGTCTTGCTTTCTGTGGTATTATTTGCGTTGCTATCTTCATTGTCTATTACGATATTCTTTTCTTGTTCACCATTCTCCAGGGAGTTGCCAGGCTGCACTTTGCTGTCCTCAATGGGCTCTGATGCTGCAGCATTCTCATTGGAGTTGCAAGGCTGCCCTTTGCCATCAAGAACTCCTTTTGTTTTCCTATTTCTCTTTCTGCTTTTCTTTTTCTTGGTTTTTCTTTCCGGTGTCTCATTTTGGGTGTTTACGATACTTTCGTATACAATAGGAAGTCTTTTTGTTGCATTGTTGTAATCATTAGTATTGCCATGTTTTTGTTCCGTTTCCTTTGTCCTAACTTGAGTTACCTTCGTCGTCTGAATACCCCCTCCATCTAGGCCGAGTTTCCTCCCAAAGCTAAGATTTTCCTCTTTCAACATTTGATTAATTTCTCTGTCTCTGACAATTATCAGAAGTAATTTTGCGACAACTTCTAACTGCGAGAAACTTTGATATATGTCAAAATTTGGCAATGCTGCATAGCTGGCAATCGGGACTTCAGCTGCGGAGGGTTCAACATGACGAAGGGGCGTAGAAGATCAGTTTTGTTTACCTTCGGGCAACTTTGGCGAAGTTTTGATTGAGGTTACTTCGGTTTCTTCTTGTGCGTTTTCGTCCGATGCATCAACTACATGATAAGATACACTTTTTGTATAGAGCTTGCCTTTATAAACCATTTGTCCTTTAGAAACCATGGATGTCGTGCATGCCTTGCTTAGGCCATGCTTGGCGGCTTTTCGCACGATGAACTTCTTGTCGGGTTTCTTCTTTTTAATAAGGCGGATCTCATTTAGAATGGTGGAAATCATATCCTGGGATACTGATTTATTCGTTGTTGCCATGATTCACGCGAAAAAACACAAATATCAAAAGAAATGTCAAAATAAAAGAGATGACTAAAGAAAAAGTGTTCAACCAACGACCACGTCGATGCAAATGCAGTGTTTAAAAAGGGGTGGATTAGTAATACACACCTGATTATCTCCACTTTTTGAATTGACAAAAACAAGAAGAGGACTTCCTCGTGCCGGAGTCAGGGCCTCCCAAACACCAGGCCCCAGGTGCTCTGCCCGTTGTAGGGCAGTAGGGGGGACCGTCGATAAATTGTTCAGACCTAAGCTGCATTTCTTCGGAAATTTTGATTTACAGCCATTGTGGATCTGGGGATGAAAACATTTATAATATCATAAATTACGGAAGCAATGTGAATAAACATAATTCAAATCATAAGTGATTCAATGCGAAATGTATCGCACAATGGCGCAATAGAGTACTGTTGCACGATCACTGCAGCACGATCTAATAACTGATTCATTGATTAATATTTTACAAATAGTGTGTAATCCATCCATACTTCAGTGAGGTTAAATAGGGAAGGGTTGATCGATCAAATGATTGCCAAGTAGCAAAAAGTATATTTTGCCGGCTTTGAGGATATTCAAACAGAACTTACAACTAAATCGCACCAAAGACACGTCCAGTCCTGTATCCTTCGCTTACTCCCACATTGATTGTCACAGACACAACAGCGAGAATTCGGTGGCAAGTTGCCTTCAAACCACTGATGGGGCATCGAAAACTAGAACAAAATAGACAACTTGACAATTTCTGCGAACTACCCTAGTCAATTTGCAGAATAACCGAAAGAAGAGTTTAGTGGAGAAAACCCCAGGGCCCAGGATAACTTTGTAACTTTAACTCGTGATCTGACAGAAATTCTTTGGGGCTTGTTAACCCTAAATTTCTACACCTAGTTGCTTCAACAACGATGCATGCTTTAACAACGATGCATGATTCAACAACGATGCTGGACTAGGTCTGAAGGCCAGTTTACACCTCCTATTTCATTACTAGACATTTAATGCTGATATCCCTTGCGCGTAATCCTTAAAAGCAAAACACAAAGATCAAAGATTTGAAAATGCTTAAACGTTTCCATTTGCTTAACGCCTTCAACGCAGCAAAGATTGATTCAACAGTATTTCACGTCATGAACATTTGCGAAAATTACCTTGAAGTAGATTTCTACCAAGCGGTACACCATAAGTAAAACATAAAAGCAAACACGAATGCATTTTTGTGCACCCCTTTCATTTTTCCTCAACTGTCAGTCATTGAAATTCCTATTTACTAGCTTTTGGGCAGCAATCTGAATGAAATCTTACCGAAAAGGGGAAAAAGTACCATAATTCATACATTCATCTTTGAAAACTATATAAATTCAATCGGTGTTTACAATTGAAATTTCAAACGTCAAAAAAGGGTAAAAGCTCTCCACTGTGAACAGAAAAAGCTACATCCAGCAAAGAAAAAAGCTTGCTAACTGAACTTAAAGATTAACTTCCAAAGTATAAACCGGTATTGATTTGGCATCTTTAGGAAATTTCATGTAAAAATGAAGAACAAGGGCATCTCTGGTGGAGTGAAATGACTAATGAAAATAGCTGGCTTTTCTGGGCTGTTAGCTCTTCGGTTATCCTAGCGTTACCAACATGACAGTATTGAATTGTGATCAAATCATCATACCGGGTCCTCATTACTTCCAGCCAGCCTCAGATCAGGCGGTATTGAATCGAGAGTGGTCCATTTACAGTTCTTTGGTGCTTTCGAAGCGCATTGCTTGTGAGCCTTGAATCTACAAACTGGAAGAAAACGAACTGAGAATCAAAAACAAACAAAGAGTTTTGAAAACAATTAAGGGTAGTTGCTTGTAGAATAGCTTGTTGAGATTGTAATTTGAGAGGGTACGATTTATATTTATGTGGATTTTTAAGCATACTGTACATCTTCCTCCTGGCCTGCCTCGAATAAGACAACCCCCTCCTCGTGAAGTCCCAACTACAAGGCCATCTATAGAGCTCCCAACCTTACACGCAAATTTTACAAGATAGGATTGCAAAAACAATCAATTCTAAAGGTGAAATGGGGGGGGGGATCAAGGGGCAATACACTCTTGCAAAAAGCTTAAGAGAATTCAACGAAAATAAAAGGATTTCTAGAAATTTTCTGAGAAAACAATATAATTTCAACCAAAGGTGTACGAGATTTTCATAGAGTGATTTTATCCTCGAAAAAAATTGCACAATCAAGGGAAAAAACTGAAAAAACTATGAATTTGTGTTGTCAACATGGCTTTGCAGCATGAATGTTTGGCAAAATGATCCTAAAAAAGCGGAATTTTTTTTGAAACGAGCTATTTCCAATACTCTTTATGGGCCTATATCCCCTTTGAATTAGACCCCATCAAAAAACGTCCAAAATTAAGAAACTTATTCCCTTTATCTTGCTTATTCCAGGATAAATTTTATCCATGAACACATAGTTCAGATATTTGAAGGTATAAAACCAGAGGTCCGGTGTGTCAAATCTATTGTGTGGTAACACTGTATCTACCACCTGCCCCCCACAAAATGTCACAATTAACTTTCTTTACCATTCCAATGTTCCAATTCGCTTTACCATTTGAGCTAGTCAAATGGCTGTTCTAACTCAATGTCAAATGAGGATTTGAACGTGGATTGGCTTTCCATTCAAACCATTCCAAGCCAAGTGAAAAATTACAGAGAAATGAACAAACCTTCACAGGAAAGTCCTTTCCCAGAGATCCCAGCCAGTAACTCTCCGCAAACATTGCAAAACGTTGGACGGCTGTGGGTTGAAGAATACCAGTGGTGTTCGCCGGAGAGTCTATCCGTTAACTCTGACTGGAAAGGAAACTTCAAATCATCAAAATCATAATCACCTAATCATAAATCATAGAATTTATCACAATTACCATTATAATCATCATCATAATCATCATGCTAATCGTCACTTTCATACATAATAATAATCATCACTATCATAATTATCATTCGTTATTTTAAGCTGGTCACTCTGTAAGAAGGCGCGTTGATACTTTGCTTGTTTCAATTCGACAACAAAGAAGATGCATTTGTAGACACAGCAGATCCAAGAGACACGATCACAGTCTATGGCTACTGCAGGCTCGTACTAACAAAAATCGTAAAAATATTGACCAAGAGAACAGTGTACAAATTTGGGCAGCACGGAGCAACAACGAACCACAACGTAAACTACCTGCAGCATGTACCAGTAATTGCGTCATAAGCCAATCTTGTTTCCCTGATACTTTGACCAAAAATTTATTTTTTTAAAAATTAATCATTATGTTTGATTTGCCTCGGCAATTTGAGTAGATAAGAATGAAATAAACGTTAATTCTCAAAGGAAATTTTCATGACTAACAATCAATATTTTATTGATTCATTATCAAACCGAAAAAGTTCTAAGGACGCCGAGAGCGAGGCTGGGCAGAGGCAACTACGCTCATTTTTTGAATAAGAAACAAATATCGATGTTGAGTACTCCAGTTTCTTGATGTTCTGGAAATTTAAATACTCGTTGTTTCTTAAAATTTTCTTAATTATGATGTCATGAATGGTGTTATTAAATATTCGTGACCTTTTTATCACGTCAAGAGATTCGCTTCCGTTCTGATGCTGTATTTAGATGTAGGAAGTATATCTTTATCCCCTGTGTCTTAAGTTCTAGGCCAACAGGGCAGTCATGTTCTTGGAATTTACAAAATTTTGTTATTCTCAGATTTATCGCGATTTAATAATTTCTTAATTTTTTTGCTTCGAATACCGAAGCTTCTTAATTTTTTCTTGCTTTCTAGTACTTGTTTCATATAGCCAGTTTCTTATAAAAATGAGTGTAATGCGTGAGGGTTGGCCCCTTACTTGACAATTAATATAGATTCCAGAATCAGACAATTGAAGAGCTGCGTCACGTTCAAAGCCGCAAGATAATGCGTTGGTTTGATGCTCGTGGATGGGGTGAGCTCACCACAGTAACCGACTTGAGATTCGGTAGGACAAAGAATCGCAGCGCAACGAGAAGATTTTAGAGTCTTTGATAACTATTGATCATTGCCAAAGCCATAAAGACCGATTTTATATGTATAGGTCAACATATTCTCATTGATCAGTTCAAGAATAGAAGCATTTTGTACTGCAACAGGAACAGGAACATCTGTCTGTGAAAGCGTAAGATAACGAACAGTAAACATTACTAAAAGCCACTGGTTTAAGAACGAACTAAACTAGGCAGCATTGCTGCAAGTTTAATAATTGCACGGTTTGTCATTTTGTCAGACACTCCGCTTTGACAATTGGTAAACAAATTCCCTGTTACACGCAGGCTGCCCCACATAAAATCCCTCTTACACGCAGACTGTCCCACAAAAAATCTCTCTTACACGCAGGCCCAGCATAATTACGGGTCCCAGGGCACTGGAAGTTGACACTTTAGTTGTTTGTTAGTAGTTGAAATAACCAGAGTCCAAAAATCATGACGGTTTAACGGCTGTCAGCCGGAGGAAGGCTATTATCCAACGGTGCATTAGTTTGAAGGAAGGTAATTTCGAAGAAGGTAAATAGTGCAAAAAATCATCTGGAGGAGGATTGAGGCGTTTTCTGGACTCTGGAAATAACTTCACCATTTTTGGCTGTCCAGAGCTACCTACTAAATTTATTTTCATTGCAGATTCTGTTTTGGGGTACGTTTTAATGTTATTCTTGATGATGACGATGTTTGGATAATAAGATATGGTTTTCCAGCATGCCACCAACCGTGGGGCAAATCACTCCAAGAAAATCTCGTACACTTTTTGGGGGAATCCTATTGTTTTATCTGAAAATCCCTGGAAATCCTTTTGTTTTAGGGAAAATCTCGTACGCTATTTACAAGAGTGAATTACCCCTCGCCACCAACAACGCATCAATTCGTCTATGACGCAGGCCACCAACCATAGTGAGTAGCCGGCTAATGGCGTCATCACAAGCAATACAGTTGGAATATGAATGGCCTTTGTGCAACTTCTCTGACGTCACAATGATAGAATGCTCCTTTTTGCACTTTTCTTTTGTGGAATTTCACGCTTGTCTCGACGTTTGTTTTCAAGCAGTTAGGGCGAATGACTCCAAGCTTTCTGATCTGAACTTGATTAAAAATAACCTTTTGTGACCCCGGATACTGCTTAGATTACAAAATCTGAGTATGTGAAGCGGAATGATCAATCTAGATCAAATCTCTTTCTGCGATGGCAAGAAAGAATGATGACTGACGAAATAAAAACGAATAGTTGCTACACCGCACTAAGATATTGGTTATCTCCCTTAAATAGAACCGCCTCTGCAAAATTTCAAAAGAGATACCTACTATTACCAAAGGAAGGGCTGACAAACAGATCGTGTTTGCTCTCCGCTAGGCAATAATAACTGATGCGAAAATATAATGAAAACACCATACAGAAATTTGAAAAGAAAAGAAAGCTCCAGTGCACATTTACAAACCACAACTGCCAGAAAAAATATATGCTCTGATGGGTAAATTAGCTCTTGATTCACTGCAAACTTAACATTTCACACGTTTTGATTTCTTTTTATTGAGAAACTACTCACAGGGAATGTAGACCCATCAAAACACCCCAGTCAAGATATGCTCAACAGCCCCACAGGCCAAAATGCTACCCCGAATCGAGCCGATGCAAATCAGATCACTGGGAGGAAGTAATGCAGTAAGACGGGGGTTTCGAAAATCCAATGCATGTGGGGAGTAGAAGTGAACAAGTTTACGCTCTATTGGCATCAGTTTCAAGTTTCTCCAAGGATTAATTTAGACTGTAGAAATATCATCGTTCCTTAAAATTGGTTATCCCTAAAATCTCGTCTGCGCAGAATTGCGACGGTTTTGAAAAGGGCACAGTCGGCGATGGACATTTCAAACTCAAAAGGTCGAGTATCTTGTGCCTGAAAACATCTCAATCTTGTTGAAACGACATACCTTAAAAACTTGCGTAATGAAATCCAAATCAACTTCAACTTTGTCAAGGATCATTTCAAACTCATCTTCGTCTGAACAGCTGATGAGCCCCAACGAACTCGACAAGAACAAATCGGGCCGACACGAAAACGATCTTTGTGGAAAATTTGAATCCATGTCTTGCGCGAAATTCGTAGTGTTCCTGGTGTTATTTATGTATTAGAAGCATTGTTTTGTTACTGGAGTGGTTTGTGGACCTAGGCAGCTGCAAGATCAGAGCAATAACAGAAGTTTCTTATCAATATACCTGCTGAAGGTCGCTTCGAATCAGTCTTTTAACCCAGCGGTAAAAAAGGAAACGGCCTTCCAGCCTGTATTGCGATATCAAGTGGCTGCTGAAACCTGCTCCAATGTTTACCGTTTAGAAGCTCGGCTTGATTGAATGTAAAGAAACACGATAGCTCATCCTCCTCAAGGGCTGTCTGGGTACTGAATTGAATACTTCCCGTATTTCATAACATGAAAATCAAATGACGTCATCATCAAAGGCCAACAAAGCAATGAATCAGAAGTACTTGAAGGAACTGGGGGGTCAAAGGGCAGTATCAAAGACTCGACATGGACCATCTGACTTGACTTACCAAAGAAATTGCAACCTTAAAAAAGTAAACCATTGAAGAGAAACGCTGCAGACTCCAGAAGGCCCAAAATTCCCCCGCAAGTCAAAGAGCGACCGGACCACAGTGGTTAATGTTTTAATCAAGCCCCCCCCCTGTTTACCAGGTCCTAGGATGGATTTTAAAGTAGGATGGGTGTTTTGTTTTCTGTCAGATTTGTTTCTCGGAACAAGTAACGTTGGTAGCCGAGGGAATAAGTCTTTTGTCTTTTTGTAAACCTGCTAGGGTAAAACGAGATAGAAAAGTCAAGAAAAGACAAGCCAAACCAGGTCAAGCCAAACCACGTCAAGCCAAACCAAGTCAAGCCAAACCAAGTCAAGTCCTTCTTTTAAAAGGGTTTTTTTCAATAATTGAGTATGATCTGATATACTTCATAATATAATAAAATAAAATGCTTGTAGAAAGAAACCGGCTCAATTTATGAACTGTGGCTGTAGATTCTGCTTTCTGCGAAAAACATCAATTTATAAATAAGAAACTCGGCTCTTAGATCACGAAAAATTTAGAAGTTGTTAGTTATACAGATCGAGGTACTGTTTACTTTTAACCTTCGTTCCAACGTTCCTATTTAATAGGAAGAAAACTCCTTACGACGAATTAGGCATTCTATTTCACTATGGTGCTCTCGTATCTTACGCGACTGTGTTTCAAAAAAGTAAAATTAATTAATAACTCAATTTTAGTATGTGCGCCTCCCAAACGTGACCGCTGCTCTCCGGTTTTCTATTGCCAAAGTGTGCTTAGATACGAAGTCACAACCCCCTGGACATGGTAACTTGGCTCACGTTACTAAGGGATATCGTTACCAAGCAGTGGGATAAGTATTTCAATAGGCAGTTGACTGTGGTGTCTTTTTCGTTTTCTCCTGGGAGGTTAGCATGTCTCGACATGGTTATCCTTTGTCCATAACAAATAATGATTAAAAATCTTAAATACACATTTTTCTTAGAAGAAACCGACTCCTATGATGATAAAAACATAGCACAGATCTCCCCAGGAATATGCCGATTAGGGGGCATGGGGGTCCTCACGCCCCCCTTTCCAATGTCTGCAGAATTTAACAAATTTGGTCATGCAGCTTGAACTTTAGCATTAAATAGGAAGTTTGACCAAATTTCAACCAATAATTCTTTTATTTTATTAGTCGGTTGGTAATTCTATTTTATGGTTGGTCATAGTCAACTTTCTTTTTTGTAATACACTATTTTTTAAAAGAATAAATTTATATGAACACGAGCCTCAAATTGGTCAAAAGTTAAAAACAATTTAAGAACAAGCAGAGGCTGAGTTACTGTAAAATGCGATTTTGAACAACATTTTATCTAAAAAACGAGGACGTTTAGCCATATGTGGGTTCTTTTTCGGTGAATATTCAGACCCGTGGGCAAATGAAGGCTGTCTCACTCACTTTGTTGGCAAATAAGGCCTGAACACCTCCCTTTAGCGAAAACGCTAGCAATCGCACTGCTTACAACCTATTAATTAAATTAAGAACAATCCACTCTCATATTTTTGAAAAAACAGTCAACCTGAACTCGAATTCACTGGTTCATACAAAAAGAAGAGTGTATTGCAAATAACTTGCTATAAGCAGCAAGCAAACGACTATAAGAAATGACTGCAAGAAATTACTGCAAGAAGTTCTCTGAGATGCACTTTAAGCTAATCTGAAGGGTGTGTTCGCAAAAATTTTCTGCCCGCTCCGCTTCCAGGGGCATCGTTTTTCCATTCTGCCCAGAGCCCCTGAAATTCTCTCGGCGGCCTTTCAGCCACATTTGCCCTTCAATTCTTATAAAACTTTATAGATTAGAGAACATTTTATAAGCTGAAATTATTGTTATGAGGAGCTCAAAAGAAGCTGAAGTTCATTTTTGCAGATTTCCTTAAAATTGGTTTTTCGCAAAAAGATGCTCATGGATTCAACCAAAAACGCGAAATCCAGGAATATTAGTTTCCGCAAACTTAATTTCCTTACACTTTCATGCCATCATTTGCTCTTACTGTGTATATGATCATCTATTTCATTGTTAATGAATTTTCTATGCAGAAATAATCGGTCAAAAGAGTAAAGTTGGTCCCTTTTTTTCTGAACGCCCCCCCCCCAAAACAAAATTGTCTAGACACGTCACTGGATCTCCCTCCACCTTATGCAACAGCTTAAAAACGAATATTTTGACGATTGGATGGAACTTTTTCTATCATACTACAATTGGTTCCTATTTCTGGTTCAACTGAATAAGGTGATATCACGATGGCCGTCATGATTAGGCGGTCTGCTACGTGATTATGATGAGTTATACTCAGGGTCGTAGCTAGAAGGGGTGTAGGGGGTGTGATACCCCCAATTCTTCAAGAGTTGGTCCACAAATCTTTAGTTGGTCACAGGCACCGCGCATCCATTGGGCTAGCTGGGACTATAGCCCCTTCTCACTTTTGTGCAATAAAAAGTTAGATAATTTTCAGATAGTTTACTCAAACGCAACTTTGGAAAATTTACACTAAAAGATCCTAGATAGTAGCAGTTCTTCTTGACTTGGAACCCTTTTTCGTTAATTTTCTTGGTGTTTTATGTTGTTTAATGATACGTTGTATTACTTTATTTGGTTTGGTTAGTGTTTAGTTATCCTCAAGCAATTATATTTATTTTGATATCAATTGAGACCTTCTCTGAATCAGACTCTTTTAAGTAATAAGTGGAAATAAGCAAGTATTTTCTAAAAAGGGCGTTTTCCAGCGTTCTAAAGGCCCTTTTCAGCCCCCCCCCCACTTTTAGTCTTGTGCGCAGTGCCTGGTAAGATGACCCCTAGCCTAATTTTTTCATCTAAATCGTCTTTAGTAAATGTTACTATTGATGCCCCTAGTCTGAAAGGTCAAGTCTTGGCCTTCATTGGAAGAGCCTTCGTTGTACTACGTATTCATGTGTTTTGTTTCTATATAAAAATCCTCTTCAACACTTTGGTATTTAAGAAACTTTTAGACCAAACTAAAAAATTAAGAAACTGAATCCCAGCTCTGTAGGTAGTTTTTCACAAAAAAACCTGCGTGTAAAATAGAAATTTGAACAGAAAAAGAATTAGAAAATCGCTACAGAAAAAGCGGAGTTGTTAAGGTGCCATCCTAGGTTAATGGTGGCAAATCTTTCCTTTTTAGATTCAAACACCCAGCGACAGCTAGAATGGATTCATTTTGGAAAAAACTCAAAGTTAGGAGCAACAGACTCAGTTTAACACAACTCAGTTTGAATGTCAAGTGACTAGTGTTGTACTGTCGTTGTCTAAAGAACAACTACAACGGATACTAAAATCAACTCTATCCACAGCCACGTTACTTGGCCTTATTGTTTGGCTTTGATAACACCCAACAATACAATGCTCTGTTCGTGGTGTAATAGGAAACAGATAACTTTGTTCGCGGCTCCATATTCTTATTTCTTGGAAAATTTGAGGCTTGAGTGACCTTTAACGTTGTATTTATTTTAAAATTTATTTTTCTACAATACATGCAATAACTTATTTTTAAGACCACTTAAATAGCAGTTTTGCATATAATTTTTAGTTGATTAGCTAATAAAATCCGCTCTTCTTGATAACATGGGAGTAAGATCTTTAAAAAAACATTGTTTTTTGTTCATCGGTCATATTTTTATGCTGTTTTTAAAAGAGTGCTTTAGCACGAGAAAGTGAACCTTTAAAGATTTTTAAAATATAAAACTCGGTAAATTTGCTGAAACTAAAAGTTACTGAACTAATAAAACATCCAAATGAAAATCAAATCATTTTTCAGGTTTTTAAACACAGAATAGATAAACTAAGATTATAAAAAGGACTATCTTTTTGATAAACCAACGTAAAAATTAAATTTCATTCATCTGAATTGGGAAGGTTAATACTTGGAGAAAAGAGGAAAGAAAAAGAAGTTTTCATCAACAAAACTAACAAACTGTAAACATAAAAGTTCATGAAATGTTATGCTCTTTGAATAAATTAACAAATAAACTTCGACCTATAGCTGCCGGTAGCTGTCAGATCAACTATGCATGAGAAGGCTTTAGAAGTATAGCACCAAGGTGGTCACAGGAACCAACGCACTCTACCAAATAGTGTTAAGAACGCTGCATATTTTACCTTGATTTTATTAAATTTTAATCATTGACTTAAAGGCAATCTGTCTCGTTGTGGTTAACGAGAACAATAGCTGGAACAATAGCCTAAACACGATTCTAGCGCTCTGCCTTTTTTTACAATGCGATAAATTAAAAGGGGACTGGAAACAATAGAAATCCCTCTGTTCTTATAACCAATCAACGTCGTGACAGATTGCCTTTAATGTAAATCGTTGTAATCGTTGACTCTTACAAACTCATTATCCGTGTATCGATTAGGCATAAACAATCTGGAACTTTGAAAAAGCCTCGTTTAGAGAATCAAGAATTTGGTAGAAAATGGTGGAACATCCAGATGTGACGTAATGTGATGCAATATGATAAGAATAGAGCAAACTTATGTAAGCCTGACTAAGGTTTCGAATATTCTCAATAAAAAAACGTACCAGTACAGATAGTTAACGCTTAGAGATCAGAAGAAGTAGGAGAAATGAAAGTAGATGTATCTGTGAAAAAGTAAAAAGACAACAGTCGTAGCAAATGTGAGTTTTTTGGTGTCACAGATCGAAAAGGCACAGGAACAATTCTAAAGGAAACACAAACTCCCAACAATAGCAACATTAGACTTCATCTTGCCAGTCGCAGTGCTGTGATCCTATGGGAATTTATGTATAAACTGTGCATGCGCAATGTAAATTGGCTGAAGTAACAGAAATCAGTTTTTCCATAACAAAATAAAACAAAACGAAAGGTTACAATCGTTGAAATTAAGTAGGTGTGCAAAACTTTTGAAAACAGTTGTTTTGCAGTTCCAAGCTAACAGAAATAACAGTCTTTTCAGTAGCAAATAAAATCACAGCTCCTATCTGAGGTTCCAATCACTGAAAGTTCGGTACTAAATGTTTCTTAACATTATCAAATTTTTAGCACTTAGAGTTTCTTACAAGTTTCTCAAGAGTTCAATAACAATCTTTAATATATGTGTAAATCACCAACTTGACGTGGTTTTGCCGAAAATTTGTCCGAAATTATTTTCGCCGAAGTTGATTGTCCTAAATTTAATCTTCTGAATGTGGGCCAATTTAAACGCGCGCAAATGACAGGTATCGTAAAATACAAGGTTAAATCGTTTTAGGTGATCGTGCTACTGAAGAGCTATTGGGATTTTTGGATCGCTCTCAGAAATCCGAACTGACGATGGAAACCAGATTTTAAGTTTATAAAATTATATGAATTTGACGTTCAGGCTTCAGTGAAAGAATTTGACGATCCAAACCTGGCCAAAGCAGCCATCTGTAAACAACCACAGGAAGAAATCTTTTGATTTGGAGGGACACACAAAAAATTCCAAAACTAGAGGTAAATAAAAATGCGATGCAAAGAAAACGGCTGGAAAGAGTATTTAATTTCGCTTCGAATTTCGTTTTAATTTCGTCACGCCACGATGAGGAGTGAAAAAGAATAATTTAGAAAATTAGAAATATTTCAGTAAGAAGTATAGGTACAGGAAAGCAGCACAATAGAATTGTGCTAATGAATAGCGAATGTGTGGAAAATTTTAAAGAGGAATTCGGAATATTCGATAAAACTAAATCCCAGGAATTATACCGAATTCTACATAATAGTGAGAATATTTCGAGTCACAATCTGCGAAACGTTTGCGGCGAAGAGTACAAAGAAATTCTACAAGACAGAAGATATTGTCTCCTGACCCACATCAGGTCACATCACTGCGAATTGTGTAAAGGCAGAGTTTGCCCACAAGCTTGCCTGAAGGTTAGGCCTTGAAGAAAATAAACGCAAGGTATAACATTGATAAAGACTTACATGTGTTCTTGCGATGCTACTTGCAGCAACCTTGAATGCATTGATCCACTCTTCCATTTCTTTTCGTTTTTCGGCACACAAGACGAGGGAACAATGGCTTGCAATTACCTTAAAAAATAAGCAGCGGTTAGTATGTTTTCTCGAAAGTTTTCGGTAGTCCCACCGGGTATTCAAATCAAATTAAAACCATTGGCAGTAATTAAGCACTACTAAACTACTCCCGAGAGCTACGTATCTTTATTGGCGACTATTCGTCAATGAAAAAGTAAAGATCTTTTGAAAAATTGATACATCTATGCGCCAATAAAAATTCAATTTCCCTTAAGAGTAGCAGTAGATAAATACCATAAATCCTCGAATTAGCCCCCTAGGGGCTTATTTATTTTTGATATTTTTGGACAGGGGGTTGTTCGAGAGGGGGCTTATACGAGGGGTGCTTATACGAGGGGGGCTTATGAAATTACAGTAGACAATAAGAAAACATTATAAAAAGACCTCGTATATTTTAGTAGGAATTACTTTATGAACATTTAATCAATTTCTACCAAAAGAATGAATTTTTTATAGGAATAGAACGCCAAAGGCAACCTCAGATGGCAAAAATCAACAAATATAGAGGGGCTAATTCGAGGATTCATGGTAGCAGTAGGGGCTTATTCGAGGAGGAGCTTATTGACAATTTTCAGTTCAAGGGTGGGGGCCTATTCGAGAAGGAACGCTTTTTCAAAGGAAGGCCAATTCGAAGATATACGGTACGCTTTCAGCGTGCATTTCAAAGGCTCAGCGTTAATCCTTTAGAATTCGCATACATTTAAAGAAGAAAACTTCAATTCTTACATGATGAATCTAATTTCAAGTCTGGCTGGATCAATCATGAAGTTAAAACTCAAAATGAGATATTTTTGAAAAGTGTTCCTTTATTAGACATCTTCAGTTATAGCGGACAAATCCGTGGAATTTATGAAGCTCGCAGCTCAGCTCGTTGTAGAGAGACGACAGTTGTTTGAAGGCTGCGTCTACAAGACCCTGACGCCAGAAAATAGGTTGTGGAGCGAAACAATGTCTCGGTGATTTGGAGATGTCCGTTACTGATAAGTGTTCATTACTTTAAGGTGTCAGTTACATGGAAGGGTCCATAACTAACTGTGTTTGCTATCTAGGGGGTGTCTGTTACTGAAAAGTATATGTTACTAAAAAGTAACCATTACTTTTACAAAAGTGACCATTACTGAAAGATGTCCTTTACAAAAGCGACCATTACTGAAAGGTGTCTTTTATAAAAGTGACCGTCACTGAAAGATGTACTTTACAAAAGTGACCATTACTGAAAGATGTCCTTTACAAAAGTGACCATTACTGAAAGATGTCCTTTATAAAAGTGACCGTCACTGAAAGATGTACTTTACAAAAGTGACCATAACTGAAAGATGTGCTTTACAAAAGTGACACAAAAGTGACCATTACTGAAAGATGTCCTTTACAAAAGCGACCATTACTGAAAGGTGTCCTTTATAAAAGTGACCATTACCGAAAGATCTCCTTTACAAAAGCGACCATTACTGAAAGGTGTCCTTTACCAAAGCGAACATTACTGAAAGGTGTCTTTTATAAAAGTGACCATTACCGAAAGATCTCCTTTACAAAAGTGACCATTACTGAAAGCTGTTCTTTACAAAAGTGACAATTACTGAAAGATGTCCTTTACAATTATGACCATTACTGAAAGGTGTCCTTTACAAAAGCGACCATTACTGAAAGGTGTCCTTTATAAAAGTGACCATTACCGAAAGATCTCCTTTACAAAAGTTACCATGACTGAAATATGTCCTTTACAAAAGTGACCATTACTGTTAAGGTGTCCGTTATTTTGAGTCTTTCTCTGCATAATGTCATCGGTATTTTACTCAGTTATGGGACAGAGCAGTTGTTTACTAGCTGTAAAAATGAATGTTTAACAACGTAAAGAGATAAATCAAAGGCAGCAAAACGAAGTAAAATTAACAAAAGAAAAAAAACTAAGCTACCTTGAAACTGTTGTTGACATTATTAACACTTGTTTCAGCCAAACTGATCTCAGAAACGTCAATTTCATGGAAAATCGCCGACTGAAATGAGAAATAAATAGGTTTTTAAATAAAGCTATCGTGTACAATATTATAAGAGTACGTTAAATTGTTCTTTAACTGAATTGGTGGTATTCTCTGATCTTCATTAACTTTAACTGGCGGGGCAGAGGGCGTGTGCAGCCCACTTAAATTCGTCCAAGTACAACAGCCCACTTTGATTCAAAACATCGTCCAAGGAAAAACAGGATGACAGAAACAGGATGACAGAGAGTTGGGTGACAATTACTTTATTATTTCAATGAAAAAGCTGAACACAACTATCTCAAGATGTATAATGTTGCTTTTTCATGTACAGCTACCATATAAGAAAATTATAGAGTCGTGTGGGATGATTACGATTTCAGAGGCAATAATTCTTTGTTCACTATCAAATCCCTCTACCTGGTAGTCTATAGACAACACTTTGTAAATTAGACGAACAATTACGTTTTTCGGCCACAATGGGATCCGCTCTGCGTCGACGAACTTTATGACCCTAAACATTACAACTAAACCCCAGCCGATCGCTAATCACCATCGCGTTTCACAATGCTAAGGGCCAAATAGACAAATAGACTAAAACAGGAAAAAACAGGAAAAGGAAAAAACAGGAAAAAAGCTAAAACGACCACGAAGATCCAATACGTTGCAAAATCAAATTTTAAATCAAATTAAATGTAATATACATAGGCAGCGGATTCAAAAACGACCATCACCCCCAAATTATCATTTGCTCGTACGCTTTTGCATGCACCCCCTAATAATTTGGGCCCTTGGACTCCGCCTAGGCCTGTCGTTTTGCAGCCCCCTTTCCTTCTATCAATGCTTTATTCATGAACCAGCAAACAGCTGAAGCTTTGTGGGTTAAAGCCCTTAAAACGCAGTAAAAAAAGCAATTAGTGGAAAGTTTTGTGGCATAGAGCCGCAAGTGAAAGTTCCAGGAATAACGAGAAAACAGAGCACTCTTTGCTTCTACCTTAGTCTGTGACTCTAACATAGCAGACCATTAAAAATTCATAACAGAACAGATGCATCTGAACAAAAAGTTTGCCTTCTGTCGTCGAAAATTGCGAAATGTTCCTCTGCAAGTTGTGTCAAATGTAAATTTTCAAGAGCACAATCGAACTTAAAAAACTGAGTTGGATAAAAAGTTACATAAAATGTTTAGTTTATAGAGTTAGATATTAAGTTCTCATTACAAAATATGATATCTCCATTACGAGCCACGATGATTCTAAATATATTTCTGTGCACCTTTTATCAACGAAAATGTAACGAAAAAACAGGAGAAAACTAAGTAAAACTGAACTAGCAAACTGGCTGGGTTAAAACGCTACATTGATTATAAAAACAATTCCATTGACACGACTTTTTAGAATGTTTAATCACCTGCCTGTAAAAATCTCCAGTTAAAAATAAATGTTTAGCCTATTTCTATTCAAAATCATACATAGAACTACTTTATTTGAAAAAAAGACAGCTCTCTATACGACAGTCTACAAATCCTCAACATAACAACACGGCGGCCGTTCTCTGACGGATTTCTATCCCATAGTGGCCGACAATGGCAAATTAAGACAAAGAATAAAGACAATACACTTGACTTAAAACATTGTTGCGAAACTCACTGCAATTTTGTGAACCCGTACTTCTCAAATAATCTGCAAGCGATGTCTAAGACTGCTATTAAGCAGTGCAGTTTGAAAGATCTTCCTTCAACGTCACTCTCACTGCCCCTACCGCAACTTTGGTGAGAATTTCTCAAACAGATAGCTGTCCTAGTGTTTGTTGATCTGGAACTACTACGGGGGCGCAACCATAAGGTGTAGGGCGTGGCGCTATGGAAGGACACCGCGGTAATTCGGTGAACAGATGGCTAGCTAAAGTTCTTTAAAAAACTGTGCCGACCGCTGTTGGCTATCAATACAGTTTTTGATTAATTTTTTCTAATATAACATTTAGAGGAATAGCCAACACGACGCCTAGTAAGCAGAAAGCTTGAAAACACGGAGAAAAGAACCTTCCCTTGGCGTCCTTTCTTTTAAACTTCCCGACTTGCATAAGTTCTAGAAAATGTTTCAACAAACTTTCTTAAACTCAGGGTCTATCTCTAGTGAAAGATGTCAGCAATACAGAAAAATAAACCCTCAGGTACTGACGCTAAAGTGCTGAAAACAGCACACTGGGATTATTTTATTTCTTCTGACTCCTATTTTTGTTGTAAAATTCGTACACAAGGCTCCATGTAAAACAGACCTTTTGGCTGATATGGCTCTTGTGTAATGAAAGATGAAATGATAAAAGAAGAAATGAAAATAAGGTGAATAAATGAGCGTCCATTGATTTTTCGTTAAAGGAAGACTGCTTTGCTGACATTATCAGATTCAAGAAAGGTGCTTCTGCAGTGTTATTAGAACACGTACATATGAATAAACTATCGACTTACATAACAAAAATTAATTTGTGGATTCTCAAAAGGACGGCGATCTCACCACAAATTTCCACCACACCTTAAAATTATTCACTAATATATGTTGCGTTTAGCCAACTGGTAAATGAAGATTAACACAAACCAGGCCCCTCAAAGTCCTTAACAAGGAAATAGACGAAGATGGCAAAGCCAACTTAAAAAGTCTTGGCAAGGCTTAAAATGATGAAATAAGGTGTGGATGTACTTACACTGGGGCTTTTGGCATAAAACAGCTGCTTTGGGTAGAGTCTGAAGTATCTCGGTTTCCATCGCTGGGAAAAAAGGAAATTAATAAATGATAAATTTTGTACAACTGGTTTATCGAGCTAAAAAGAAGTTAATGATAATATTCAAATAAAATAGAGTAAAGAAGCGGAGTTGAAAACCTTTCTAAAGTACACAATATAGGAAATCCTGACTATGTTATTTGAAAGTTGACCGTTGTCATAATTAACAATTTAGTATCATCTCTAGTTCTAGGTACGAGAGAGCATACTTGTGAAAAGCCCCTGCCTGTCGGTTTGCTTAGGATACACATAAAATGCGAAGAATATGGTAAACAAGAATAAATACTACGCCGGGGTAGGCACGATCAACTAGGGTAGGTAAATTTCATAGTTTTATGGCAAGATAAATAAACTATTTAGTATGTATTGCTACTGCGTCTTCAACGCTTCAATTAAGAACAAACCCTTCAAGGAAAATCTAGACTTTCAAATGTGACGTCATAAAAAAAATCTATTTTTAGAAATTTTGAATTTTGACAACATGGCTTAAAAGTATACCATGATATGAAAATCAGTTAAACATGTCAAAATCGATTGATGGGGAAAGAGCCGATACACATTTCAACCAATTCGAAAAGCAATTGACTGATTCTGCATATTTAAAGGTATTTCATGAAGCTCTTTCAGGTCATGGGATCCCAATCAAAAAATTCTAAAAAATCGATTGTTGCGACGTCATCACGCAAGAACTCCATTGTCGTGGTATTAGCAGCATCAGTCAAACATTCGGTTATTTGCAGTAACGATAGGAGGACAAAGTGGTTGTATGTCATGCACAGGCCCGTCACTATAGGGGGGGGGGCGTGGGGTGTGACGCCCCCTTGAAAAATAATTTCATTGCAAAAACGAGGAGTTTTTTGCCATCTTTGGGTAATTTGTCGGCAAATGCAGGATGGCTCTCCCAGTTTGTCGGCAAATGGGACATGGGAACCCCCCTAAGAGCGCAATATTTAGCGACGGGCCTGTTTTTCGCTGTCTAAAACCGATACCAAGCATTTTTTAGGATCAAATGATTAGATTGAAACCAACAAATATGTCAAATGAATAAGTCTTTCCCCTCTGTAGAAAGTAACACTCTATGGGCGCATACTTTAACCTTTATATTTGTTCCACAAAGAACTTCAGTCGATCGCTGATTACATCAGGTTTCATAATTTTTAAAAACATACTCAAAACAGTCATTTAAAGTTATCGGTTACCAAAAGTGACCGGTAATTCATTAAACTTGGTCCACAACTGCAAGTTCTATCATCAATAATCAATCAAACAGGTGCAACCTTTCACAAGACACACGCCTTAAACGAACGAATTTCTGCTGCCATAAGCTCGTCGTAAATGTCTGTCACATCTCTTTCTACCCTCGCTATAGCCAGAATAATACTCAGAACATGTGCCGATTTTTTGAGCTATTGCTTGAATTAGACAGTGAAAATCTGAGGCTGCTCTAGTTAGGGTGAATCCATCCACGAAATAGCTTACAATAAATGGTATTTTTCTGCTTGTGTTTCCTGTTAGGAATTTATTACATTAAGTACAAAAATTTTCAGCGGATAAAATTTCGGACAACAAACTTTGGGGAAAATACTCAGACATATTTTTGAAATTTCGGACAATAATTTTTCGGACAAATTTCGGACAAATTGGATGTTTAAAGCAAAATCACAGCAGGTTTTTGATTTACATAAAATATTTAAGATTGTTAATAAACTCTCAAAAAGCTTGGAAGAATCTCTGATTACTGAAAACGTTACAATGTTAAGAAAATTTCAGTACCAAAGTGGCTCAGTTTAAAGGCAGTCTGTCCCCTATTGTGCTCAACTTTATTTTCACGGGAATGAAATCAATTCACCATTGAGCTTGATCGATAATTAAACGATTTAAACCAATCAGAGACAACTTTGATTCCAGAGCTTTTGAATCAAATGGCTGTTTTCCCGTTGTAGTGAAGCTGTGGCTAGAAAAATATGGCTTCCTGTTTGGTTTCTGCGACAGATATGTCAACAGCAAAAGAAAATGCTTCCATTATCATCATTAAATTCCAGTAATTAAATCTTCCTGCCATTACCGATAGCTTTTTGCTCGCAGTTTCAAATGTCGTCCATTACCGCAGCTAGGCCAGCCAAAGCAAGCATCGTAATCCGTTGTCCGTTGAGGCAGGAAGACCTATTGTTCATATTAGCCAATCATTGAGGGGACAGACTGCCTTGAATGGATTTTTGATAGACGATGAGAACGGCGATGCTATTTTTTTGAACTGGTGATGCTATCAGCTTGGAATAAAGACTGTTTTTAAATTTTTTTACAGAAATACGTGTTAAAGATTGTAGCCTTTGCTTCATTCAATAAGCATTGCGCATGCGTGATTCATACAAAGCTTTTCGGCGTGACAAACTTTCGCATAACTTCCGGCGCATGTACTTCATCTTCCATCGTACCAGCATCTATGTTATCACTTGTCTCGACCACGACTCCTCCACAGCGCGTTTTTCACTCAAGAAGGGGGTTTTAAAACGTCACTTAAGGGGATTAATGGTAGATTTTTTGTGCTTCCTGATGACTCATATAATAAATAGTATGTGTGCTTAACAAAACGTTTGGGACTATAGATACTTTGAAGAGCAAAGCCAAGTGACTGGTTGACAAGACCAGATGTTGACAAGGTTTGAACAAATTAAGTCGCCCAACCATACCTACACGGCATGTGCCTAAACATGAGGCAAGTTGAAACGTTTAAACAGCCAGGCATCGCATATGCCATTCCCAGCCGCACATTGCATACAGAAATTTAATGTGGCAATGACCTTGCCATGAACCAGACGTTTCGTAGGACATCCTCGCTTTGGCAAAGGTTTAAAGTTGATTTTTAAATCCCTATCTTATGGTGTAACAATGAGCCATAAACATGAGTCAGCCTGGGGTAAAAAGAGCAATTATAGAGACAAAAATTACAGAAGCGATGATAAAAAAATTCGAAAATCTTTATTTGGTTTACCTTCTCTTAACTACAAACTTTGATAGAGTAGTTCAGGAGCGACGTACAAGTACCTAATTCAAATTTGAAATTTAAGGTTTGAAATTTCAACTATATCTTTAACCAAACTCAATCACTGAACCACTGCTTATCTTGATGAGACAGGTAGTATCATATGCATTTTCGCAATTTCACTTGTTTGACAACTTATCTCAACATAAGGCGTACATCGATCATATCGTTTGGAAGAATTCACTTCCAGATCAGTTTAAAAGAAAAACTTAGAGTACAAATAATATTTGCACATCTAGAAGCATTAATTTAGGAGAATTCGAAAAAGTCAACTCTTGTAAACACTCCCACGTACGCTAACTTATTTTTTGAATAAATAACCAAGCCCTCTATTTTGAATAAAATAGATTCAGGAGCCACCAATGGTAACCACTCGCATCTCTGACTCTCTTTGTCGAAACTGTTACAGAAAATTTGCTCCAACCTAAAAAGCTTCTATTTTTTAAAAAATCCCCCTAATCTAGTAAAAATGGTATTTTTGGTAACTACACAAAACTGCAAATACTTGCATCTGCAGATTGTGCAAAATTTTCATTAAAGATCTAGGGTTTTGTAGGTTAAGTATGGACATCGTAAAGTAGGTTTTAAATTACTTTGTTGGCGTTAATTAGCTTATTAGCTAAATGTATTTTTTGTTCTTTCTTGCCAACGTAGAATAAATTGTTAATAATAAGAATAATATGGATGAATGAATAAAAAAGAACAAAGATGGAAGGAAAAAAGAATGTACGGGCAGTTTGTTAGAGAGATGCCGGAATCAACAGATGAAAAGAAGACATGGAAATGGCTGAGAAAAGCTGATCTTAAGATACAAACAGAATCACTTTTGTGTGCAGCGCAAGAACAGGCTCTTCGAGCAAACTATATTAAACACCCTATTGACAAATCAGCAGAGTCATCACTTTGTAGGATGTGTGAAGAGAAGGGCGAAACGGTACATCACATTGTCAGTGAGTGCAAGAAGATGGCACAGAAAGAATATAAACGAAGGCACGAAAATGTTGCCAGGATTGTGCATTGGCATTTATGCAAGGAATACAATCTAGAAAGGACGGAAAAATTGTATGAACATACCCCCGAGGGTGTAGTTGAGAATGACGAGGTAAAGCTACTATGGAACGTGAATATTCAGTGTGCTCATTTAACTGAAGCAAGAAGACCAGACATAGTTGTTGTAAGCAAAGGCGAAAGAAAATGCAGCATCATTGACATTGCGGTGCCAGGTGATAGTAGGACTAGTGACAAGGAAAAAGAGAAAGTGGAGAAATATCAAGATTTGAAAAGGGAAATCAAGAGAATTTGGAACATGGGAAGTGTGATAGTTGTACCTGTGATTGTTGGAGCACTCGGCAGTATAACAAAGAAAGTGGATGGTTAGAAAAACTGGATATCACAGTGAATACAGCACTCTGACAGAAGACGACATTATTAGGAACAGCCAGGATATTGAGAAAAGTACTTGAGTACCAAAGGACAATGACCCCAAAGGACACTTGGTCAAGGGTTTCGAACCGTTCCATTAGGATGTAAAGTCGGCTAAAGAACTGCCAGTGCTTAAAGCAGAAGTATACGATATTAATAATAATAATAATAAACATTTTTTTAAACATCTCATTTTCATTGAATACATTTTAAATTTACAATTATACGACTCGCTTTTATAGGCATCATATAATTGGCTTATCTGCATTACAATATTTAAAAGTCAATTAGTTCGGGGCTTAGCCATGGTTTGTTTCGACGACAGAAGATATAGTGGGTGCAGCGGATAGAAATGTTCATGAGTTTCATCAAGATGGATTTAGTTTGATTTGAGTCAAATTGAGTTGATGTAGCATGTCGGAGAGAGAGGTAGATGAGGTTCCCAGAATGCCAAGGACACTCATAGAAAGGTTAACAAAGGTAACACGTTTATAGGCAGGGCTCAGTTCCTTGATAAGATCGCTATATTTCCTAGCTTTTCGAGTACTGTTATCGTCTATGTTGCTTTCGAACTCAACAGTAAGCTCTAGCATGTAAAGGATTCGATTTTCAGTTACGAAGACAAGATCTGGTCGATAGGAGTCGCCTGTGATTAAAGAAGGTGATAGAAATGAAGGCAGGTCGGCGTAAAGTGAGCTGTTTCTAGGTGTTGAAAGGGTTTTAGCCAAATAGAGAAGTACAGAATCGTGTCTCCAGGTATACCTACCATGTTCAAGATAATTTTTGCAGCTAGAGACTATGTGCTGTAATGATTCTGATTGGAGACAGAAAGAGCAGGCAGGATGAGTAATTGACCATTTGCAGAGGTTTTTCCTGGTGGCAAGAGTGTTGTTTAGGTATTTGATGGTAAAGTTGTAAATGTTTTTCAGTAACTTTTGCTTACCAAGTTGATTAGTTCCCTTAGAAGCAAATTTTAAGATGCATGAGATAATAAAATTTAAGATGCACGTGATAATAAATCCTTGAGATGTAAGAATGTTTTCAATGCGGTTTTCGTGTTCACTTTGGATGGATTTGAGAACTTGTTTGGTGTTGCGATAAACGTCATATTGTATGTTTGTACCAGTGCTAGAGTCTTTCCATAAAGAGCGAATCTCTTGGTTTGGGGACAGTCTTAAAGAGTTGCGGATAACTGTCTGGCATTGCAAGAACTTGGTAGATGGAAGAATGAGATTGATGCCAAACTTCGATTTCGGAATGACGGGGCTACTTATTGAAGCACTTATTGGCAGCTCAATCAATTGTCTAACAAAGCTTGAGATAACATTGTCTAGATTCTCTGTCACCCATGTCTTGCTGAAATCAGCGATGGTCAGGTTCCAGGAAATTTTGGATAGCAAATATCGGCGGTATAACAGAATTTTGTTCTTTGGATGACACGACAATTTGTCGATACTAGACATTAACGAGTTAACAGTTTCTAACAGTTCTGACATATGATCACTATTATCCATAGAAAAGTTGAAGTATCTACCAAAATATTTAAAGATTTGTCTTTTTCAACAGTGGGAACCATGTTTTTATTGACAATAAGTTTGAATAGAAACTGAACAGATGAAGTAGATGATTTTTTTATTCCAAATGTTGAGCACTTGTCAACCCGAATATGCATGTTTGCCCAAGAAATAATAATAATAATAACAATTAAAGTTCGCACATCGACTATGGATGAAAGTGTGCTAGAGAAAGTAAAGGAGGCAAGTTCTTTTGTAATATGTAAAATAGATTTTGAAGGCTAAGTTTCTAAGATATGCGTATATTTTTTCGAATCACCTATGCAGAAAAGTTATATATGAACCGACCCTCTATAATTTACAAGGGATTCTATAAGGTATGCATAAGATGCATTTGTGGGAGTAATTAGCATTAAATAAATCGTGCAAGAAATATCAAAACCCTCATAAACAGAAAAAGTCATATTTCATCTCAAGCTGCCGACTTCTTTTATAACGGCATCTAGTTTAAAAAATTTCTAATGAACACTCCATATTCAAACTAAGTAAAAATTTAAGAGACCAATGTGAAACAGTACAGGGATTGCCCACAAATATCAGAAAGAAAATCATAAAACATATCGAATTTATTAAGATATATCTATCATACCTGAAAAGATCCATGTTGCTTTAGCAGAAATCCTTCCTTGATGCATTCCTGTGTAAAAAGCAATAGATATAGGAGAACTGAATCGTTCTGTTTAACAACTTTTTATGCAGAAACTTCAATTATCTGAATGAAATAGGCCAGGATATTGCTCGAAAAACTCGTAGAAAAGACTTGTCGATGCAATATATGATGTAATATAAAGAAGATGTTGGTTAAGTTATTCGTCAAGTAAAAACTGTAGTACTTTTAAAGTACCTACATAATTTTCAAGTAAATCGTGCAAATTCTTTCGCGACATCTGCCTAACTACGGAGATTCCAAAAATTTCTCGCAAGCCGACAGGTTTCATGCGCGAGCCGGTTTGTTTCGATAATATTATTTGCAGACACAAGTGGCATTATTCATACAAATTTTGACTACAACAAAAACAAATAGACGTGGATAATGTTTATTTTCAAACAATTCTCCACCAATAGTCGAAGAATCTTCTTAAAAATTAATAAATTTTTTAACAACTTATTGTTTCACGTCGACAGTTCTCCTACAAAAAGGAAAACACTCTGAATTCATGCTTGTGATCATAAAACGAAAGCACAAAAAATAAACAAGAAAGGAGGAATGAACAAAAGAATCTCACTGCTGTGCCGAGGCTATTTCATAAGTTACAATGACAATAATGGAAAACTATTGTTCCGTTTGCATAAACAATGGCAAAGTAATATGGTGGGGGTGACCCAGATAGCCACAGAAACACTCACTTACGTACAAGAAATATCTATTTTGATTAAAGGACACCAAACGTCGATTTTACGCAGTCTTTCATTAACATACAACCTTATCTAAACTGTTGCGAAACAATTCACTGATTTTTCAGTCCAAACAGCTACCGAAAAAGCTGAAAAAATATAACAGCATTTCAAAACAAACTTCCTTTCTCCGTTGCATAACTGCCATATTCAGGCTTTCGTTACGTAAAGCTCTCACAAGCATCTTCATTAACATCGACTTTAAATTTTTTTAAATTTAGGCAAGCCTTCCAACATTCCATGTTTTTAAGTTCGCCGTCTTGTGTGACGTTCTTTAAAGACTGACTTAAAAACATGGAATAAAGAATTTTGGAATAAAACACTAAGGTAGAAAGAAATGCTTGATCGGTTTGATAAACCTGCATAACAAGCTGAAAACAGCAATCGTAAGTAATTTCGGGGACACATCTTAAATTAAAAGCCTATCGGTGTATTACAAAAGTAAAGCAAGATCATCAGCATACAGGGACGTGGTTGACTTCCTATCACCCATTGTAGCACCTGAAGAAGCCTTGCAAATGAAATTATTCAGATCAACGAAGAATAAAGCAAATGAAATTTTAGAAAACAGTCTTTTATTATCGACTAAAGCAATTAAAAACGAACCAAAGAGCACCTCATTTTCTCTAACATAACATTCTACATAAGATAAAGCATTTGAAAATTTCCAATGTATTGAATAAAATATCACTACATGACAGCAATATAAAATTCATTGATTATAATTTTTTTTCTAAAAGGAATAAATCAGAGAAATGGCTTTTTCTATATGCTACCTGATTCTCATAAAAAGATGCTCAGGATTAAAATAATAATAACAGATATATTGAAAGATTTTTGTCAAGTAATTTTTTGAGGACGGTCTTCAACAAAGTATTTGACATATGTTTGCCATTTTAACGCATTTCTTGTTTAGCATGGTCAAACGTATGACTTTGTTATTTCTATTGCGTTTGAAAAAGAAATATCTTTTGAAGGGGCTATAAGTCGCTTCGCAAAATTAACATTTGACTTGGTAAATGTCCATATGTGTGATAGCTTAATTTATCAAAATATTGACTTTTCTGCAGTTATTTCATTTCAATATGGTTTTGAGAATGTTAATAATCTTGAAAACTCCACAGCTGCATTGAAGAAGGAAAGGAAGGGATGTAGACACCATTAAGTAGCAAGCCAGACTGTTTATAACCTCGCTTTTGTGACTCTTTGGATGACTACCATCCCGGACAAATGTTGTTTTCTCTTTTCTATGAAAAATAAATTTTTCCTCGCCTCCGATTCAACGTTAATGCACGTTTTTTAATCACAAATGGCAGAACTACTTAGCAAACATTGATTCGAGGGAATTGATGAGGTATCGAATATACAGCGGCAACGTGAAGTAGCAAATTGCAAAAATTGCATTTTTCTCAACAATTTTGTCCAGGGTTATAGTCATAGCCTGAAGTTGCATGTGCCAGTAGATATTCGGAGGTGGAAGGTAGAAATTTCCACATTTCCTTGTAGATTAAAAATTGCATCCACGATTTTGGTTTATGAATATGTGGCTAAAGTTAAATTTAATTATTGATTTCATTTTCATTCAAGATGCTGTGCCAGGTTACTTAAAGGATGTGGTCCTATGGAAAATTTCATCGATAAATTTTCTCCAGAGCAGATCACTGGTACTTTGCCCTCTACAGCGTTGTTTAACATGTGCTGTTCAATTTCGGTCATTAATAATGATTTTGAATCGAGCTTTGAAAATATTCTCTCACAAAAAAATGATGTCAGGATACATCAAAAGAACTTACAACTACTAGCAATAGAAATATACAAAACAGTAAATAGCTTAAATCCAGTATTCATGAAAGAGATATTTCAGTTGAATGAACTTGCATATAATTTACGAAACCAATCGTTTATACAAAAGAGCCGAACACTGTTACTTATGGACTAGATACAATATCCTATAGATGTAATGAATTGTGGAATTCTATACCGTTAGACATTCGATCGACAGAAAATTGTAAAGTATTCAAAGCTAAAATTAAACAGACGGATCTTACTTGCTCGTGTAGACTATGCACACTTGTAAAAATCACGATTTTTTCTTAATTATATTTGTTATTTTTACAAGTTGGTGTTAATTAGCTGTTTATTAGCTAGTATTTTGTAAACCAACACTAAATAAAGTGAATAAACCAACATTAAATAAAAAATATGTTAGCGATATTTGGTGCAAAAGGGCTCCTATTTGCAGTCAGTCAATTTGCCAGTTAACGCAAATATAATTTTCAGTTGAAGGCAAATTGCCATTTTTGAACAAAAGCCTCATCATCTGTGAGATACTTCGGGTGTTTATTTGGGAAGTTAGTAGAAACTGAGTGAAATGTGGGATACATTGGTTTCAACTTAACGTAGGATACAGAAACAGAAGGTCGTGGCTATTTGTCGAGATATGATGAGTGTTATTTCGGAAGGCACAGCAAATTAGTAAAAATGGCCTCCCCTTTCCTTATCAATATATGAAAATGAATAAGATAATGGTATTATTTTAGTCTCCCATGCATTTCGCTTGGCATTGTGCTTTATACCTGTTACACATTGTCTTGGCCTCATTTCTCATGAATTCGGGCAAACTTTTGATACTTAAGGTAAATTTTGCCCCCTAAAGACAGACTATTTTGGCACCTTTATGATCAATTCAGACACTTAAAAACCTGTCAATAAGGCCGTTCCTAAAGAAGGCATGAGGGTGTGACACCCCTTCGTAAAGAAATTCCGTTGCAAAAACGAGAAGTTTTCTGCCATTTAAGGGTGCTCACACTCTTTCATTCATAAGAACCAGTAAATTTGAATTCAGGCTGATTGTTCTTAACTTTTTCGAAAATCTGAAGCTGGATTGTTCTTAATTTGTTCTTAAATTGGTAGCGTATAAGCAATGCAATTGTTAGCTTTTTGGCTCTAGGAAGGTGTTCAGGCCTCATTTGCCAACAAAGTGAGTGAGACAACTTTCATTCGCCGCCATTTTTAAATATTCACCAAAACAGCTCCCAGACATGGCTAAAAATCCTCATTTTAGAGATAAAACGTTGTTCAAAATTGCATTTTACGGTAGCTCAGCCTCAGCTTGTTCTTAGTTTATTCTGAACTTCTAACCAATTTTGAGGCTCGTGTTCTCATAAAATTGTTCTTATTAAAAAAGAGTGTAGTCGGAAAATTTTTCAGACTTATCGGTAAGTAAAGGATGGCTCATTCACTTTATCAGCAAATGGGCCCTTGAAACCACGCTTGAGTACCATTGCTAGCGACGGGCCTGACTGTGAAGCAGGAAAATTCCAATAAACTTGAAGTTCTTTGGGAAGGTTTTCTTTGGTGTAGTCTGCAGCACGTTATCTTCATCCTAGACTTAAGACAGGATTGTTTGTTAACCAGGATTTCCTCAGACGGGGATATTTCCTTCGCAAAAGGGCACCTGTGCTCACGGACTGTGTGAATACAATGTTATCATTCCACCAAGTAACAGACTTTTTATTTAAAAAAAAGGGGTCGTCCACGCCTATTGATACAAGCATGTTTGACAATTTTACGACGAAACTGTCGACAAGCATTTTTGTAAGATCGGCTCCTAGACACCTGCTTCACATACGTAGCTGACTTAACGCTCTCATCCTCATACTTTTTATACCGCTCATAAAAAACGTGCCACACAAGCGCGAAATTTACACTTACTTTCAATATACGCTCAATACAAGTTGACACAAGAAGGGAATTTCAAAATAGGGTTAGGTGAGGTATATGAAAGTAAATCATAAGATGCATACGCAGCAATTACATCCTGATCCCATCTAGAAGCACCTAAATAACAAATACCATTTACGGGTTACTAGAAAAGAGGACAGATGGCAGTGGCATCGCTTGACCTTTCAAACTAGGGGGTTGGAGGGTCACCGCAAGAAAAATTTCATAGATGGAGAAGAATTTAGGTAGTACTTCACCAACTGATAGACGATTTTACCGACAAACTAAGGATTCTGTAGACAAACTGAAGGTTTACCGATGAATTCTTGAAATATTGGGGGTGTTACGCCCCCCTACTCTCCCCGGCTAGCTACGTCCTCCATTTGTTCACAAAATTTTTCTAAATCTGTTGAAAACAATAACCTAGGGTATTTGACGTCAGCATTTTGTATTCGATCCTAGATTTTATTGGTTGGTCCAAGTATTATTTGGCTGAATTTTGACATTTTCCCAAAAACATGGCCATTTGTATTGTTTTTTTTGTTTCCTCCCTTCTATCTTTAGCCATCACATCTTTATCACTGAAACAGTCAATCATTATTTTTCTGTGTTCTTGACACTTTGTTAAAAATCTGGGAATTGATACACCCTGTTCAATTATCACTTGGTTGTTCCTTTGTTCTCCTCTGAAGCAGGGTTTGGGACAATAAGAGGAGGGGAGCACTGTGATAATTATTCATTTGTTCCCCAATTGTTTAGTTTTAATGTACTAAAACACGAGCCTGCACATTGCTCTAAGTTATCTGGAAATCCTGAAAATGTGTTCCGTTGGTCTGTTGAAGAATATCCAAGTGTCCTTACAAGAATGGAAAACCTTTAAGTCATGGGAAAACAGGCACGGGGGAGCGTTGAGAAAAGTGGGGGGCTTCAAACAAAGTAGGCTTGATTATTATTATAATTTTATTCTAATACCGAATAAAAGGTGGCTTGATTAGAGATTCATTGGTAAAGCTTTTGCATTTTGGTAAAAAGTGGGGGGCTATAGCCACCCCCAGGCCCCCCTTCTCAGCAGTGCCTGGAAGAGAAGTACATAAGGGTAAAGCCATATGGGTAAAACAGTCTATGGACAAAACAGAAAATGTGCGCTTCTAGGCTTGCTTACAGCTTGAAAACTGTGATTGTGCTGCATTTACATTTTGGCTTAATTTGGCATTTTTCCAACATTGATTTGGTTTGAAATTCCTAAAGAATCTACAAACCCTGTACAGTGTTATAAAAGATTTCCCATGCCAAATGAACATTATTTCTGTTTATATGGCAACAAAAATTGGAAAATGCATATTTTAAAAGCAAAACAAAGAAGCATGGTGGAGTTATTTATCTACAACATGAACACAGTCATTTATTTTTATCTCTGAAAATGAATTGCCCTTTTTTCATTATACTTTAATTGGTAACGGTTTGGAAAGCCCTGTGACCTATAGCCAAGCCTAAAAAGGAATAAGGGGACAATCGTGAGAAGTGAGGGGAGTGATATCAAGTTTGCTGACTCAAAGTTTTGACATGTTAAGTGTGTTAAAACATGTTAAAACAATCTGGCAGACAAGAAGAGGGCAAAGTGTTCCAAAGTTTACCATCTCTTGGAACAAAACACAAAAATATTGGGATAGGTTTGTGAAATTGAGAGGTGACTTGAAAAGGGTGAGAAAAAGAAGAGATACGCATGGAAAGTATCATTCATTTCGCTATTGCAGGTCAAATTTTAGTGAACGTTCTGTCATTTGGTAAAATTATATCATAAAACCCTGGATAGCTTTCACTTGCTGCTGAAGTTCCCTCTTCAATTGCTATTAATGTCATGTTACTTTAGCTCCTTGAAATGTTAGAATTTACACTTACAATGACTCATCTCATCGTTTGTTTTTTGCACTTACTAAGCAATTACTAAGTTATCTTTGTGATGGTCTAGCAATTAAAGTGTCTCAATTCATCTGGGCTGAAATGTTGCTGTGAGCTCCTAGCATAACCTGAATGGGCACTTCTTGTTTTCACAGAGAGCTGAATCTTTCTAGGTAAAATGATACAGATTATGAGAATGAATGATCAAGGGTCAAAAAAGAAGAATGTATTTTTCTTGGTATTATGGTAATTGAGCCTGCTTGTGTGTGGAAATCTCAGTTTGATTGTTTAAGAGCTTTTCTCCACCAGCATGTTTTACAAGTCATACCTTTTCATACCAGCACAAAGGTACACAAGATTGAAACAGATAATTACAGAAAATCTAACCAAAGCAAGCAAGATGTTATTCTCTTCTCTTACAGGCAAGCCTTTCATCCTTGCTCAAAGAGCATCTTGTGGTAAATTTCCCATTAATTCTGTCTTTCTGGTTAGATGTTTATACAACAAAGGATACTTTATGGCTTTCTTCCATCAGTATGCGAGAAATCATCATTAATATTTCAGGGATTTCAAAAACATCAAAGTCATTTTTTCTGACCACAGAGAGGTCTATTAGTCCAGCAGAAGCAAAGGCTGTGATTTAATACATCAGGGGAGGGGATAGAAAGCAAATATTTCCAAAGCAGTATTTGCAAATCAATTTCTATCTTTCTTGAAGTTGTAGAAAATCAAGAGATTTGAGTTGAAATTGAAGTTTGCTTAGTCAGCTGTTTAACATTTAGACAAAGACAATCCAGGGCAAAGAACTGGTTTTGAGCTACAGTATGGTTACAAAATATCAAAAAATTAATTAAAAAATTGCGCATTGTAATTATCTAAAGTATTCATTTTTTAAGGATCCCAGGGTGTTGTGATGTAAATACTTGCCTACTGAAAATGTCAATACTTGCCTATTCTCAATTATTTTAGAAAAAAGATTTAATAAGAAAATATACATGGTATATGTAATCATTTTCTTAGTTTTTTATGGACAAAAGTTTCTAAAAATTTTTCAAGGTTTCTTAGATATCATGTGCAAAAGAACTACTTTTTAGAGAGATAAAACGCAACATAAGATAACATAAAATAGAACATCTAATCTGACATAAAGATTTCTTCTTTTTATTATATTTGCTAATTGGATGGACAATAGGTTCCTAATCGTAAAAAATCATTGACAAATTCAAAAAGAAATCAATTCAGGATCTTCGGGTAGTTTTCGGGTGGTTTGTTAAGTTTGAACGTTCCTCGATTTTCTCACAGTTCAGTTCAGTTTTATTTTCTCACAATGAAGTTGGTTTCTTATGACAAAATGGGTATACTCTAAAAAAATTCAAATACCGCTACCGAGTATTTTAGCAGTAGCATAGAATAAAACTAGTTATGCGGCAAGTGAGTTAATTAAATGAATTGAACCGCTTTCAAAAACGTTTCCGTTTATCAGAAATCGTATCAACGAAAATGAAGAGATTTCTTGTATCTTTATTTGCTTGACTATTAATATCTAAAAAGCAAGTGGCCATTCATGCCAAATTCGTTCGCGTTATCAATGAGAAAGAAAAATTAAAACAAAAGCAAACTAGATACTTTTGTTGAGAAATTTAACTGGCTGCTGCCAATCACTTGGCGAAGTGAATTAGTTTTTGATAAAAATCAAATGACATAAATAGTATTTAGAAATTTCTCAAAGTTTTAACGTACCTCTGGATGTCTTCTTAAACTATCTAACTCATTGGAGGATACCGTAAAATCGTTTCCTGAGCGTGACGATCTTCGAGGCCTACACGGGACTACCATGTCCATGTTGGTTCGCCTAGGCCCTTTGATAATATAGCGGTAACCTCACTTATGTGCTGCGGACAGGTCATTCACAGAAAAAACGGCATTTTCTCCGTTTACTTTCTTTACGTCTCCTGTCGCAAAAACTAGACAAGAAAGGGCAATATTCCAAGTGTGCACGTTAACTAAATACAACAATTTATCGCCAACAGATGTTTTGTGTGACCCGGAAAATGCAAGGGTCAATACCCCCCGATAAATTATCACATTCCAAAACGATATATGAATCAAAGTAGTGATGACGGAGGCTGTTCAACAAGCGGATTTTCGGAACAGTGGAAGTCTAACCTCCTGAACAACAAAGAACCAGAGTCTTTCCTTGACAATGTTTACAAAAAATCAGGGGTTTGATAAGGATACTGTCAATAATTAATGGGCCATGCAAGATTTCTTCCTTGCCCCCGCATCGATTTGTGAAAAACAAGGTTTTAGTGTTTCCAGCAGCAGCTGAGCAACACATGAGTTGTAAGGTGGGATTAAACTGCTCCTGGGTTCTAACAACCATATTTTCGAGCGAGACGACAATCCTCTACAAAAAAAACTGAACTTGGAGAGAAAGCTGCAGTTTTTCAGAATCAACATGCAGGGGATAATGACTACTTAATTTCTTGCATACAACAAAGCTATCTGGGTGCCTCGCGCCACAGGGCCCTTTTAGGGCGTTTGCTACCTTGCGGAATTACATAGCATGACACTCAATGGTGCCCCTAGCGTGGGGACACCCCTTTATAGTCAGTCACATATTGTGGCCTAGCTGGGAAATGCCTACCAACTACAACTCTTTTCGTTTTCGTTTCTTCGATGTGTGTAGAATATCACAACATTGGCCGATTTTTGAAAACTTGTGCGGTTTGTCCCAAATTTGGACAAAAAATTGGGGCCTAAATTTTCCATAGGGTAAAAAATTAAAGTCATCAAAATCTTAAACCAAAAACACAAATCGATAGCTATTATCACGAGAAACAAAGAATGTAAACACATGAGTATGTTAAAATCAACTCCTGACGAAATATTTGGCTTTAAACGTCTAGGCTAATCAGGGGGTAAGAAGTTATGATAAGTGGCATTATTCTCCGTATTGCCCAGAACTAAGTTCAAGTGTGAATTTCGACAATCAAGAAATGTTTCTTCTGATCAAAACCTCCTCTTTAGATGTGTTAATTATCCCAAAATTGACTAAAAGCAAACCTGCATCTCGATTTACTCAAAAAAACTACCCCCTGGAAAACAAGAATTATCTGATTTCGTACTTTTAAGTGTCGCAAATCAATCGAGAAATACCCAAATACATAAAGATAAATATAAAAAAGAGTTTGTCCAATTTGAGGTGTTTTTGTATTTAGACATCATTTTCAGATGATGAACCCTCGGGTGATTCAGACATCACGTAGTCGAAAAAACCAGTTTCTTCATCGCTATCACTAGATGTTTCCTCCTAAGCTTCTGGAATCGCGAAAAATGTGCTGTCACATCGAAGTTGTGTCATTATCCTATCTTCATTTGGAAGAGATGGACCATCAAACCAAAGAGGACACAAAACATCATTTTCGAATCTCCAACCATATAACAAGGGATCGAGCTTCTCGTAATTGCTGTTCAAACAGTTAACCCAGCCATTGCATACCAAATTTGATCGTCTGATTTTCATTTCCAGTGACTTACTATCTGGCGGCAAAGCTTTTGTTGACGCAAACGCCTTTTTTCTTCCTGTGTTCAGATATAGCATTGCATATCTGGAGTTTTCTCCCTTCGTGGTCGATTATAGATAACATGTAAAACAAAATCAGTAACTTTACAATGTCGGCATTTCGGGATTGCAGTGATAATAAAAGGTCTGCTCTTTCGGGATTTTTAAATAACCTTTTGAAACACTGTATTTTCAACCTTAATACATTGGGTTTGTGTAATTTGATCCCGTTAGGCCATGAAAAGCTGGCAAAGATTTCGTTCCTTGAAGAAAATAAAGATCGACATCACATTGTCCACAAACAAACAACAGAAGAATGTAGATATCAGTATCATCCGCAACTACGCAGACAGATTGCCTTGTTGTCTTTGCTGCATGAATGCTATGAAATGCTAGCCTAAAATATAAAAAATTAAGAAAACAAACAATATGGATGATAAGGTATGGAAGCAAGTCCGAAGAAACAATAATTTTTGTTAAAGTTTAAGGTTGTAAGATCTCTATCATACCTTTGATCAGCTTCTCTGTGGTTTAAAACAATTCTCGAACTGATTGAAAAGGTGCACCTACACATTTCGCAAAATATTGCCGTTCCTTTGTTACTTATATGGCCTTCTTAGTTGTAATGCCAGAAAAGGTGTCAAGTCAGCTAGTAAACTACAAATTTGATGCTTATTTTTGTCGTTTGTCAGAAATTCTTACTATTCGTTTGCCTTTGGCAAATCCTGATTTAGATTAGCAATCTTTCTTTCCTTGCCCTTGTTCGCTCTTCCTTTTGATAGCAGTTTTGTTGGATCTTCAACCGGTGAATAATCATCGAAAAACAATATGTAGAATTTCATCTGGCAATGCCTCCAAATATCTGAAAACTCTATTTGCCCATGACAGAAATGTAGGAGGGGAAGCATCAGTAATCAATATAATCCTAACGACTCGCATTGCATCTACAAAAGACGTCTGAATGTTACAGGTGGGCCTTTTGTTGGTTTATCGAGACTTTGCTGTTGCAAGTGGTTTCGAAGTGTACGTTTCAAGTAGGCAAGTAGTTTCGAGTGTGTTTGAGCTTGCACGTGATTTTCCATCTTCTGCAGCGATAGCATATGGTTTACTTGTGACAGGCCACTCCATAATCATGCGCAAATTTAGCTTCTTTCTTTCAAATCGTGACAGTATCTCTCCAAAAGATCTTTTCTCATCTTCGTAAGTAGTCACTTTTTTCTGCCTTTTTTTGTGTCAAATGAAATTACTCTCTCCCTATTGATTCTGTCATAATATCGTTCTGATTTTTCAAAGGTTTCTGGGTGATGAGATTTTGTTACTCTTTCAAAGAAACTTTTCATGGCTTCTTGTCCCCTTGTTTTTGTGCTTTATACATTATCAGCCATCTCAGCTGTTGCAATTGCACCTAAAGATAGTTTAAGAGCAGCTTATTAAAACATCATATAAAGTAATTACAACATACAAAAACATCCACTTGAAAATAGAATCAGATTCATACCAACATATGACAGTTCAACAAAAAATTTGCATACCTGTAGATATATTAACAATATCTTGGTCATTTTCCCAAACAGTCGGGATCCACTCTGTCAAGGTATTAACTAGTATGTGTTTCTTGTCACTTTCCAATCGCTTATCTTCGAGATCCACTTGATGTGAACTTGCCCGATTTCTTGTCATACTATCCAACGTGTCTCTCAAAGCTGCCACGATGTGGTTGATTCTCATCCACCGCTCACTGGCACCAGCATTCTCAGTTTTTCCTGATAGTCCTCCTGTTGATTCGCTGGAGTTGTTAACTGTCATTTCAATAACTTGATCGCATGGAATTCTTGTAAAGGGCTGGCCAGTAAGGGAGACAATAAAACCGTTCTTCATAATGTTGTCATACAATTCCAGATGAGAATGTTCTAAGTTAGTAACATGAACAAAGAGGCATGGCAGATTTCTGGCATACTTATGAGGGTTCAGTGCAAAACAGTAAGGAAGGAATTCTTTAAGACATTGTAAATACCCACTCCAATTACCAGTGCGTTGAAAAAATATGGTAGCTATTGAGTACGAGATTTACCATATCAATATATAGGGTCTAATTCAGCAAAAGTTGTCAAACTTTTTTCAATTTCATGCTGTGCTTCTTCTTCTCTTTGTAATGACATGGTTAGCAATGGTAATACTGCTCCTTTCACATGTTTCACTTCGTTGCAAATTATACAAAGTCGGTCATCTTGTGTTGATTTGTGAATATATGATCCTCTTGTATTTTTCCTTTACGGGTTAATATGATTACGACCGTTGTTTTGAACTCTACATTCCTCCTCTCTTGTTTGGCTGCTAAATTGATGGTTGCTTTTACGTTCATCTTTTTTGCGACATCAAAAAGATTCCTTGGAAAATTTTCTTCAGCATGCTTTGTGATTTTCTTTGCTGCTCCAATTGACTAAGGACAGCACTTTGTTATAAGAATGATCATATTCAGCCCATCGCTTTGTCAGTGATGTCAGCTCTGTCATTAAAATAATGTGTTTCCTTTATTGTTCCAATACTTTCAAGCTTTACACGCTTTCTAAGACAGCTTTCAAAGCATATCTGACACGTAACCCTCCCGGAATACACTGATGGCCGAGCGTTAAAAACAAGATTCTGGAGAGGAGAGGATAGAGTAGATTCGCAAATGCAGTCATCTTTCTTGCGCTTCGTCATTTTTCTTTAAACAGGAAAAAAAAATGCAATTATCCGAATGTTTAGCCGTCTAGTTAGAGAGCAAACAAATAGCATGAAGTATTCAATATTTACTCGCTAATTCAATAAAAATATTTCTCAACAATAGTGGAGTACAACTTCTAGCACACGTGGTTAGTGGCATCTATAAAGCTACGAACTTCAAACAAATAAAGAAACAAATGAAATATTATGAAGCAACAATGAATAACTGAAAGAATACTTTTATCTTCATGTAATTTGGTCCATTACGAAACAGTCGTTGTACAACAAGTTCCTGGCAACCAAGATCAGCATTGGCCTACGTGAAATGATCTGCAGCCTGTGTTGCCCATCTCTTGCACCCTCGTGCCCATCGCTTTTAACCCCTTTCAATCGTCCAGCTGACCAGAGTCAGTTAACATTGTTTTGATAGATTTTGTTACTGTGAATATGTCTCATTTATCCTTGCGTTAAAAAAGAATTGTGTTTCTCGATTTATAACCCGACTTATAACCGCACAAGTTTTACAAAATCGGTCAATGTTGTGATATTCTACATACATTGAAGAAACGAAAACAGAAAAGAGTTGTAGTTGGTGGGCATTTCCCAGCTGGGCCGCATTATGTGACTAACGCAATTATGGGTAGCCTCTCCGTCAAAATGCACTCTAAGAAACATTCAGATTTTGTCGGAGCAAAATTATGTGGTTCTCATAATTAAAATTGGAAAAATCATTTTATTTCATTGCTGTTTATCCCATTGAGTTAAAAGCATTTTAGTGTTTCATGCTCTTTCCAACGATGCTTCATTTTTAGTTTTTTTTCAATCTACTTTGTTCTTTCTATACTACACACATCACATGGGTGTCCTCTTTCTTACATAATTTTTATAACCTGTTTCACACTCTAGCTTTTAATCGAAAGAGTTTTGTCAACTTTTTTACTCTTTGATGATACTTGCAATGCTCGTTGGCTTACAGACTTCGAAAAAACCTTGTTTAAGACGTTAATTGTAAGCCATTTGATTGGGGAAAGGGTACATGTTTTTATCTTTTAAATGCTTATATAGACAACAGCGATGACTCAAAAATGGATGGGGTAAATGTAAAACGAATAGACAACCGAACCCGGTTACGTTCTTGTAATATCTCGATACAACTTTAAATGTCTGCTGTTTTTCATTCTTCCCTCTGCAAGCATTTGTCAGAGTCTGTAGACTGTAGAACAGTTCTATTACCTTGAAAGCTTCATCACTTGCACATATAGCTAAGTGCTTACGCTTTTGTCGTGTTAGCAAAGCCGGTAAATTCCATTGGCGGTAATGGCAAATTGACAGCCTTAAAATCGTATTTTAAAAATTTTCAAACATCGTTTCTTGTGTCCCACCAATTTTGTCACTTCTGACTAAGGGTGCAAGTAAAAACGTTTAGTGTTTGACATTGAACATAGAAATTTTCCCAAAATTAGAAATTTAGAACAAAGATTAATTTGAAGTGCATCAACCATTTTCAATCAATTCAAAGCTAAGTGCATCAATTCAAAGCTAATTACTTTACAGCAGCACGACATTACAAAGACTACACCCTTTGGAGCAAAGTAGCATAACTACTCAATGGCCGTTACATAAAACAAACAATTAGAAGAACAACTTGAGCGATATGATGTATAAGAGACACACCATAAAAGGCCATTGGCTTATTAAAATTGAACTATTAAAAAAGAAAAAGCCGGAAACGGGAAAATTGGGGCATGGGAGCACTTAAGGGGAAATTGAAAACTTCATCCAGGCGTTCTGTTTCGAAAATGAACTTGATCGTTAAGTTCAAGATTACTGAATTAAGACGAAAAAAAGAACATAAGTAAAAGAGCATGAACTTAATAGAGTTAACACGCATTTTCCACTTTAAAATTCTACAATATCTAACAACAGGTACGATCAAAGAGAGACAAGAGCGTACACAAAATTGTTCGATATTGATTTTGAAACTGAAAGATGTCTGAAATGAGTAGACATCTTAGCCTCCGGTAATCTCTAAACATCCAAAAGATAAAATAAAAACGCCACAAGGCCTATTGGTTTTCCGCTACATTGCAAAATATTCTCATTGGGAAAACTGCCCTTTTGACGTATTTCTAAAATTATGTTCCAGAAAGCATTTGGCTGCAAGCCAATAAATACAAGAATGAAAAGCCTGTGGAAGACTTGTGGTCTGCTTTGCTGAAGATGTTTTCTGATGCTATATCGATACCAGATTAAGAAGTCCAGAAAGAATAGAGAAAAAGAACAAGTCCAAGAATTGATCCTTGTGGAAACCAAATTTTATAAGTTTTCTTGCATATAGTTCAACAAGAAGGTTTAACCAAGATAATGAACAAAGCATTCTAAAGTTGCCCTGATCCCTGCTATTCTGTTATCCTCTTGGAACAGTGTCGTATGCTTTTTGGTCAGTTAAAATTGCCCTGAAGCCAATTTGCCGGGAAAGATTAAAGTTTTAATTATTATCAGCAGTTTATACACAATCTCATCTACTACCATTCGTGCATTAGTTAGCTCAGTACGGATATTTTATTTTGTTCACCTTTGTTAACCAGGAAACATCACTCGACTAGAAGATTCATGGAAGTAAGATTGCACTGTCTTCTACTCTATCACTTGCTGCCCCTTGACGTATAGACAGACCTGTATACTCATTGTTGTTGCTTTCCTGTGTTTCACGATTAATGTCCAAGAGGGTGCAATGCAAAATGCGCTTTTGGACATGGGCGTGAGAGGAAGAGGTAGACGTAGAAGTAACTTGGGTTGGCAGAATGGGGTTGGGGGCGGGCTAAGCACGCTCATACCCTCACTTCCTCGGTCCTTGTCCATGTCTCTCTGTAGTGTTTGTGTACATTAAAATGCACTCGCAGTTAAAGCCATTCTCGAAGAGCGCCTGGTGTATTTATGGGGGTTTCTACGGTCTCGATTTTGATTAGAGTGAAACCAATATGGTTTTGATAATAGGTTATCATAAATTTGAATAATTCCCTATACGACTAAGACTACGTCACGTTACGACTATACGACTATTACGACTAACAGAAAGCACAAGATATAGAAATCGACCAACTTGCTTCCAGAAATTTGGACAAAATCAATCCTTTCCCCTTACCTATTGACTTCAATGAAGACGGATTAAAGAGAGATAAATGGCAAGTATAGAAACTTTTAATATTATTGTTTTTGGGTAAACAAGGACTATTTATGAATGATATTCCAATGACTCTCTTTGACTTTCAAGGCGTCTAACGCCAGTTGAGATTTCCTACGAATCTCCTAATAGCAACAAAATCAAGAAATTACGTGCTCAAAAGACAGCGACGACATTAGCCAAAGCCTGGTCGTAGGCTTTGCTTTGCCACTCTTGCAAAATACGTTACTTATACACTCAACTACAACCATGCAAAATCTGGTCGCTTGGTTTCCTTAAACAATGCAACAGACACAATTTGATAGCGAAGTCTTATAAACATTGGATATGTTTTGACTTAACCTGTAGTCTACAACTCAAAGCCTTCGTCCGATATACTTCAGTAGGCAAAGTTGAATTAAGATTACGGTTTCTTAGCTTTTAGAAAGAATTTAGAAACCACGGGTTCTTAGCTCTAAGGAACTTGAGATGGTATTTAAGAAAACGTGTCGTGTTTGGTGTGTTCTGTTGGTCAATAAGGAGTTTGCTATATGTTCTTTCTGACTCCTGCATAAAATTGTCATATTATCTATTAAATGCCTCTTTCTCTGTTATGGACAAACAGCGTACTTGTTTATGGGTGTTTTAGCCTGGATAAAATGTGAATCTAGTTCTATCAACTATTCCTATTGCCAGGGGGCTAATTCGAGAATTTAGGGTATTCTTTAATTGGAGCAAGTTTTCCTACAAATGAAAAGCTAGTGCTAGATGATATGAAGATCTACGCTGATTTTGCCCGCTTCATCATTTTCATCCCACCAATGTCACCAACATGATGATTTAAGGTAAATGAAAGACTTTCAGTTAACTAAAGAAGTGTTTAGTTTTGGCTTGCCTAATGATATTTAGGATCAAGGTCTTATATCCGTGATTTGACATTGAAGTTCATTCAGTTTCTAAGGGTCGAAAAAAATGGAACACACTTGCATCCTGTTAAGCTGAATTAGTGTTTATCCACTTTTGTAACAACTTACATTTCATAGATCATGCAATACAACAAATACATATCATTGGTTGCAATAAAAGTATTGTGCATTAGGTAAATATAATGCAAGGGTCACATAAGGAGTACGTACAACAGGGGTTGCTTCATTTCTAACAAACGGTATTGGCTTTTGTTAGCTGAACTCAACTTTTGTGGTTAGTAGAATCGGTTGAGTCATTGGGCATATCGCTGTGACAGTACTTCTGCGCGTTTCTGTTAAATTAAGCCATGTAAAACTGTGAACTAAATGCATGCATACACGAATTCAATTTAGATCTACGGCAACAGTTCGATATAGAAACATGGTTTCAGATTCAAACAAAACAGAGTCAACTGAGTTAAATAGGTCCGTTTTACTGTAAAGTAGGACCTAATTGCACTTAATCCCATTTTACTTAAGTAACATAGATGCAAAAATCAAAGAATTGAGAGAAGAGATAGCTATCGTAACTTATCAGTAACTGCTAAAAACCCTCTATTTGGCAGAAATTCTTGGTGTTTAAGTCTTTGACTGCTTTCGCAGCGATCTAGAGCGGTCATATAATTGCAAATTTGAAATAATGACTTTAATTTGAGGCAAAATTTCAAGTTTGTACTGGGGCTTAGTACGAAACATCCTGGATTTGGATTTGAATTAATAATCAGACGGCAAAAAGAAGACGCCCACATCGCACAATGCAGCTTTACGGTGTAGTCGGCACACTGTTAATGAATCTTATTATTAAAGAGTGGGACAGAAGGTTAATGGAAAGACCCTTCGAACCACTCTCACTATACAGAGTAGGGTCAAATGTGTTCCTGTTCTTTTCTGTTTGCAGGTGCAACATTTTCTCAGCTTGGAATCCAGACACAAAATGAAATGGTTTAGGGTCTTGATCACAGGATACTTTTTCTGTTTGGAGAAGCATTACAAATTTTGGAGAAGCATTTAACGGACCATTAATGTGTTCTGTCTCTCTGAGATTCAAAGATTCCTTGCACTGAATTTATGAGTTGGTTACGAGAAACGTCGCTGATGATTTTGGTGGTGTCTAGGATAGGAAATTAACAGGACTGTCATTCAATTTTTCAGGATTTTCGAAAACCGCTGCTCTCTATTCCCATCCCCTTTTTATCCACAAAAATGTTTGTCTACTCCTGATCTCAAAGCAACAAAACTTCATTGATTTTGATAGGGAAAAAAGTAATGTGATAGAGTTACAAAGTGTCAAAAAAGATCTGTGGCACAACTCAGGGACGCCGGAACGACCAAGGGGCAAGGGAGGCCGGCTTGAGTAAAAGGGCATTTGAAAAAATTAATTTCCAGCTACCAACAATTCTTTCGTAACTGTCATTTTGTTTCGATCTGCTGTTGGTATTTTAAAAATCGGCCAAATTGTGGCATGAGAAATTTCTTCACAAATTTCGAGAAATGTCGTCATGAATAAGGCACTACAGTCAGTATTTCATATGAATCTCATGGATTTCCTTCAAAAGACCAGCGTCAACAGCACTTCTATGAAAAGGGCACTTTAGCCCCACTTGTCCCTCCTATCAAAAGGCAACAGAAGCGGTCGACCCCCCACGCCCCCTCTCCGGCGTCCCTGGCACAATAACTGTTTGACCCCTTGTAACAAAACTCCTCCTCAGAACTAGCCTTGAAAAGATGGGCCGTCTTTTTTAAATGAAGTTCTATGGAGACAACACTTAATAAAAACCTAAAAATTTTTAATTTGCAAAATTGGCACTTATACGTAAAGGGGGTACTGGTCAAATTATTGAAGTAATAACGAAATGATTTTCAATCCAAAAGAGAACAGCTCAATTTCATCAGTATGTTTTATTCAGAACATTAACCGCTTTGGGTCGATTTTCTAATTGTTCTATTTAATGTTTATCGTAGACTATGAAACGTTTCTTGTATCGTTTTGTGTTGTAGCTAAAAGGAAATCAATACAGTCTGCAAGTTTATCTTCAAAAAGCGAGGCGGAACACTTAGCTGAGAACAAAAACATCTAGTTTTGCTGGCGTGATGATGCAAGAAGTTTGCTTTTAAAACGTCTTGTGATTGTGAGCCAGCCGTTCTGGAAGGCATCCTTTACGTCACCGAATAATTAAACATATTCGTTTTCTTACGATCGTCATTGTTCTGAGCTAAACATTGCATTGGTGTGATAAAGGCCTGACCTATAGCATTTCGTTGACTACCGATATGTTAACTGGAAGTCAAGCAGATGTACCTGCTATAAATTGAAAGACTTTTCTTACCTCTATACTCTCTAGCGTGCCTGCTGTCGAATACCTCCGTTTTCTAAATCCAACTGTTAACACATCTGCGTTCCTCTCTG